TCCATGAACAAAATTTTGCAGACAGATAGTGCTCATAGCTGACAGGTTGCAGCTAACTCCCTGGAAAGCAAAATGGGTATACACTCCACGTCACAGTCCAGCAATGCTGCCACTAGTGGAAGCAGGAGCAGACACAAAAGTTTGCAGAGCATGGGGGCTTCTGTCAAGATCGGATACAAGAGGATAATAAGGTCGGAGGACCAAAGTCTGAAAGGTATAGACAGATGGTATGAAGAGGTGAAAAGAATAACTCAAAGATAGAGGTTGCATAAGTCAGAGAAGTGTCGGAGACACGTCAGCATCAAGCCGGTAAGTCAGCAAAGTCGGTGAGGTCAAGTACAGATGCGGACCAAGCCAAAGCTGGTGCACTAGGCTACTACACACTCTGATTCCACATAGAGAGAGGATGCAAAGCTTAGTTGATATTTGAACTGAAGTTCTACCGTATAGTTCGAGCAGTCTCAGTACATAAGACAGAACAATGGTGAAGTCGGAAATGCAGAGTTTGGCAGCACCATTTGGTGCACAAAGGAAACGTACGGAGACTAAATATATCGTGTGGAATACAAAGGGAACATATCTAGAGAAGAGACGGAAACCGCGGACTGAAAGATCAATTGCAAGCGAAAGGAAACTGAAGACTACAAATGAAAACTGTGATGTCAGACAAAAGGAACAAGAATGATGAAAGTCAGACTGGAATCCGTTCAAGGATCTGGAACCACCAGGGTGTTGAGCCGCTGGTGGTCCAGTGCATGTGATAGACTAATCCTGTTCTTGGCCAAAACGGGAAAGGCGGGATCGGTGTCGGTGAAGAAGTCATAGAAGAATCAGAGAAGATTGGTGGAGCAGATAGGTGACAGCGCAGCCTATCCAAAATGTTCCTTGCAAACACTGCGAGGAACAGTAGGTGGCAGGGTGGGCAGCTGCAAGCGAGTTGGCTTGGATTGCAAAGGCCTTGGAGATGCTCTCCCAGCACGTCGGGGTGTTGAAGTCCATGATGAAGAACATCGAGGGCCACATTGCGACCCTCGAGCAGCTCGTCATCCCTATTGCCCCCCACCCTCTCCCACAACGAGTACTACCAGACCATCATGGAGTACGTGCGAGACAAACAGCAGGAGCAGCAGATGGAACAGGATGTCTGGAACCAATGGGACGTGGAGATGCGGGCCTCTTGGGAGTTAGAGTACGAAGTGCGGATGCGGGTACTCCACAAGGAGTGGGAGTACTACCAGATGCAGGCAGCTCTGTCATTCAAGGATAAGGGCAAGGGGTCATGTCGGTCGGGCGATGGGGATGAGAAATATCCAGGACTCACTGGTGTTGCAGACTGGTTGTGACACCATTTTAGGGTGAGTCCACGACATGGCTTGTTTTTTGCGCTGCGCTCATCCTTTTTTTGAAACAGGTGTAGAATTCCACTCACTATGGGGTACACTCTCCAAATCTAAAACCACAATTCTCTTTGAATGTACATTATGATGAAATCTGTGGCGGCGACTCAATCTGTGGCGGCGACTCAATCTGTGGTGGCAATTTCTGTGAATTTCAAGCATAGAATATTTTATTTGACTAGCAAGACCCGTGAGACCCGTTGAAACTGAATGAGCCCTATCTTAAGTCATTCTTGAATAATATAGTGGTTTCAGACTGTTAGTCTGTGCCCACCGAAGAGTTTGTGGCATGAGATTTGCAAACAGGCTCGAAGGCTGCTTGAGCTCAGCACGAAGATCCCCGATTGTACGTTCCATGGTGAACTGGGATACACACAAAAAACACCATGCAATCAAATTCCAAGCTCTCGCCTTTTACAATAGGATGATTGGACACATTTTCAGACCAATCAAAGGTCGCTAAGCCGATGGATATCTACCCCATGCCAGCGGTGTCCTTGATCGGTGTCAAGAGCATGCTCAACGACCAGATGCAAGATACTCAAGATTACGATCAGTGATACCAGCTGTTTGGGGACTCTGCCTACAGTCTGAGCCTACTGTTTATCCATCCTTATTCGGGAACCGGGGTTCGCACTCACAAGGAGCTGGATTACAATTGACAAGTTAGGAGCATTCCGTGTTGAAGTCAAGCACACATTTGGGAACGTCCTAAACAGATGGAGCTCCCTTCGTGTGGTGTACAGATGAAGGTATATAGTTCTCTAGTTGGCAGTTACTATAGAGTCAGTGTCCTCCTCACGGTGTGTGTTGTGCTAGTATATGGAGCACGTTGACAGACTTGGAGACTAATACCGCTCTAGCTAAAACCCAAACTTGAAGTGCTGCTGATGACTTAACGTGTTGGTGTACTGCTCATTCCAAGTCAGGAGTAGCAGATTGTTGAACTGGGGTGTTATGCAAGACGTGTTAGTTCTGTTTAATACATGCAGTTTGGTCGTGGTTACACAAAGTTTGATCTGTTCCGATATGCGTATTGGGAGCTCGTATAGCAAGTGACAAAGAATCTAAAGAGTAACAAATGGTCGTGTGTCCTAGCACAGGCACAAGTGGCTCTGAGTGAGTACAGGCAATGCCCGCCAGACTCACGAAACTGAGGATTCAAGTGCACATAATTTTTACAGCCTTTATGTCAGTATTGGATGCCCCATTCTTTGTCGTGGACACATAATTCCGTGTATAGTCACAAAAATTTTGAAGATATTTCACAAAGCACCATGAGTATACTGTTCTCCAACAAACATTGCTCAAACCGAATATGGAGATGATGACATGCAGTCCACCTCAGACAGTGTGCTGCCTGTTATAAGACGTGGTTTAGGCACTCATGGGAACCCACTAACTGGCAGGCACTTCAGCCAACATGTGAGAGTTTCCCCTGGCTTGCACATCCTCTCATAAAACAAGTCAAGCATCTAATATATTATTCAAGTGCACAAGCACAAATTTGGTATCGATAGATCATTTTTTTTCAGCCAGGATCAGTAGATAGAGCTTTCTACATGGCTATTGTGGGTGATCAGGGTGCAGGATATAAATTCTAGCTATACCAATATCTCTTACAGCACTAAAGCATTATATCCTGTCCTACAAAGCAGAGCTGAATCATACTTGCTGAGCCTAGACATGGCAGGACCATGAAATGGTAGCCAAAAGCAGTGAATAAGGCTGTGCATTCAGTAATCAATGTAAGCTCTTGGTTATGCATGTCTGGCGGGCGTTGACTCTGAGCGTGCCATTGATGCAGCTAGGTTTGCCCAACTCTACTTGCATCGCATACCACACGCGACAGCGCTCCCGCATGACGAGGACTGAACATCCAATAAAGAGATTGCATAGCTGAGCCGTCTCAGAACACGGTTGCTGAGGTATGATCATTATTTCTGATGGTGACTAAGTATGGAGTTTACATGTTTTGCAGCAGCATCAGATATGGTGTTGAATTTGCTGGAAACACCCTCTGTCACGTGTCAATCCAGACTGACCTACGCCGATCCGCTCCGCCAATCGTCACTGATCTGCACCGATCTTCTCCGATCCACTCTCCGACTCTTTGCCGACTTTCTTCGCCGACGCCGATTCTGCCTTTCCCGATTCAGCCAAGGGCGGGATATGCCTATCACATGCACCAGGCCACCGGCGGCTCAACACCCCGGTGGTTCCAGATCTTGAACGGATTCAACTCCGACTTTCCTGATTCCTGTTCCCTTTGTCTGACATCATAGCTTTCCTTTGTAGACATTAGTTTCCCGTCACTTGTGACGGACCCCTCGGTCTGTCCTTTCCACCTCTTCCTTAGATATGTTGCCTGTGTGCCCCATGCGTTATCTCTCATCTCCATACGTTTCCTTTGTGCGCCGAACGGTGCCTCCGATCTCTGCATCTCCGATTTCGCCATTGTTCTCTTTTATGTATATAAACCGTCAAACTGTACCGTAGATAGTCAGTTTGAATATCTACTAAGCTTCATCCTCTCTCTCCTGCAGACTCAGAGCACGTAGCAGCCTAGCACACGAGCTTAGGCTTGGTCCGCTGTCATGCTATAAATGTGTGTAGATACACAATAGACTCAGGTTTCCGGGGTCTGTGAGAGACTCGGGAGATCGCCTGATTTGTTTGGGTGAGGGATGTGTTGTGTAGAATGGCTGTGTACCAGAGGCGAAGAGGATGTGGAGAGGATGACCTAAATGGGAAGGTCAGGACTAAATTGGGATGGGCTCCATGAGTGAGCTCCAGAGAATGTAAGAGAAGATAAAGCAGACAACGATACTGCAACTATTGCAGTGGATAGATGAATGTAGTGCAAATTAGCACTATAGGGGGCAGATTCAAGGGGAAAAGAGTACTTGCTCATTACTACTATAAAGACAGTACTTATACCTACTAGGCCATGGCTATGTTACTTCTGAAACAAACTATATACAACAGTTCATATACAACTCTTTAGTTCTAACGAATGATCTACTTGATAAACGAGGTGGCGATAGGCGATATACGAGAGATTGAAACGAGGTACTTGTGATCTATCTACTTTGAGTACTAGTTCAAAACACAAACATAAAACAGCCTAAGACGATATACGAGCACGATGACGATGACAATATACGAGGGACTAACAATCTACTAGACGATGGCAATATACGAGTTTCCTGACGATATACGAGGGTCCTGACGATATACGAAGTTCCTGGCGATATACAAAGTGTGGAGTGAGCAATATACAAATGGGCAACAATATACACAAATCTGAAACGACACTAGTCCAAGATCAAAAATATACTTATACAAAGAGAAATCTTATCATGCGGTTATCGTAACCGTAAATATTCTTGCAAGAAAGGTATGTCCAGTATCTGGATGCCTAGTTTAAAGGGTGGCATGGGATTCTTCCTCCAAGATTTTGAGAGCAGTGTTATCCTTCCCCTCGATATAGTTGGCTATCAGGGGGTATAGGTGTGGGTGACCCATAAATAGGGACGAGCAGGTCATATTGACGGGTATGATCTCGGGGCGAAGGTGTCGATCATTGAGAGGGAGGAGGGGAAGGGAGTGTCATTGTAAATGTAGAGTGACATTGGTAGTGACCACTAGTTTTGCGATGGCGACAGGACAGCCGAAGGGGAGTGGTCCGTATTCCTTCTTGATGGGAGGAAGCTGTGGTTCGCGCTTGATGGCACCGTCACTTTATTTGATGGTATTTGGCCATGCGTGCGTTTTTACATTGTTTGACACTGCCACCCGAATTGCTCGGTATACGGTCATATTACTGATGCTTCGAGAGGCCGTTATTCCACCATGTTCCAACACATATGAAGGTGGTATTGGATGCATATCATATTTCCCCGAATCCCTTCGAATTTCCAGTAGTTCCATACGGTTCCAATTCTGTTGTGGGCCAATTATCGGGCCTTAGGATATATCCGAATAGCAAACACTCTTATTCAATGGTACACTACAACACTGTCCAACGGTAGTATAGATGATCAATTGATAACCCCAACCTTCCTCTGAGCCCCCACTTGCAGTAGGGCGCATGCGGGTCGTTGGTGGCGGCCGAGTTCTCGCCGATAATCGCGACATATTCAGGCTGACGCCGAGCCTCTGCCGCGCACCGAAGCCGCCATGCAAAAAGTACATGTGGGAGCTGATCGAGTCCGGCGTCAGCAGGCTGTACTGCAGGTGGGCATGCGACGGCGTGTGCGCGGGCACGTACCAGCCCCCGGCCTTGCCGTGCAGTGGCGAGTCCATGCTGTTGACTCCGTTTGGACCGTTGAGGCCGGTCAGGTTGAGGTTGAGGTCGACCGGGGGAGGGTTGGACCAGGAGGAGCGGGGGATGATGATCGGGCTGGGCTGGGGGGACGGGGAAAGGCTGCCCGAGAAGATCAAGTTGCGCTTGGTGCAGGAGGTGCGCGCGGCGCAGAATATGGACTGCGTGCGGATCGGGCCGGGGCCACTGGAGGGCGCCCAGGAACGAGAGCGGGAGCGGGCGTCCGAGGGGACGCCGGTGCCCGGCTGGGAGCCGTTTAGAGGTAACGGGCGAGGGTGTGTGCCGGGTGAGCGAGCGGGTGGACTGGTTGGGCAGGTACTCGGGGGGCACGTGCGGGGAGAGGGGCGAGTGAGGACGGCTGTTGCTCATGCGGTTGCGGCGGGTGCGGGTCGAAGCACATGGACGAGTTGAGCGCCGGCAGGGTCGAGTTGAAGTACGCCGAGGTGGAGAAATCGTGCAGCGAGCCGGGGTGGTGTCGGTGGCGGTGGGTCCCGAGCGAGGGCACGTCGCCGAGACCGGGCGGGCTGTGGATCGTCTGCGGGAAGGAGAAGGCGTGCGAGTTGGAAAGGGGCGCGCCGGACAAGGTCGCCGAACTGGTGAGGTGCGGGTCGTGCATCGGCGGGGCAGAGATGTCGAAGATGTTGTGCGTCGGGGGCCGGTCGCTGTCGTCGTATGCGCTCGTGGACCGCTCGTGGGGAGACCGGTACTGCTACTGCTGATTGGCGCCGCCGTTCGGGTGTGAGGTGGAGATGAGCGAGGCGTGCTGTCATAGAGGGGTGTGTGTCAGTGTGCGTACTTCGCTGAGGGCGGTGAGCCGATGCACATACATCGTTGAGGGCGACAACCCGGCACACAGATGCCATCGAGGAGGGTGTGAACCGGATGGATATCGACATCATTTTGCGACGGTAACGATAACTAGCCTGGACTCGGCTCGGTGAGTCCGCATGTGATAAATGATTTGCTCACCCTAGCATACTCGCTGTGACAGGGAACCCATCTGCTGTTATTGGATGGTGCACGTTGATGCGTTCCCTGCGGCAGGTGCTCCAGTAGGTCTTGGAAAAGAAAAGTCCAGCACCGACGATTTGCGCGTGTCATGCTGGCGACCGGAGCCAGAAAGCTTGTGTGCGCGCACGACGGCGTGCTGAATTCTGGCCAGTTCGAAAAATAACCTGCAAGAGCGATGCGTCCTGGAGTACGTCGCACAATTCGCTGGAATACGCACACAATCGCTCGCTTAAGTTCGCTTACTCAGCCACGGGCCAGCCTATTCCAGGCAATTCAGTAGTACAGGGGCACTTTTCACCGGGCTTCAGAGCCCCTCCACGATTCTGTTCCCCGTGTCACCAGCCGTGCCGCAGGAGGATTCCGGCGAGTCGACACCTAGTCTTGTATATGCACGTATATATATATATCAACCTATGTACAAACATCGCGATAACTTATCTGTGTAGTGTACGACGACAAATCGTACGCAATTATCGTTCTGTGACGCTGACTTGTATTGTCTCTGTTGTTCTACGGAAATGATGTGACGCCTCTAAGTGTAGTCTCCTAGGTATGGCTCTACCTTTTGTGGCCTCCTAAGGAAGGCCCCTCCTAGCTTCCCGTGCCTCCTGAGACTCCTGAACCTCGTTTGACCAACGAGAGATCAAGGAAATTTCCTGACGTACCAGAGATAAGAGGAAGAGACGCTTCTCATTCTTCACGTTGTGGTTTCGTAGTTGTGACGCAACTTCCGGATGCAATGATGTATAAAGGCTCATGACCTGTAGGTTGAGGGGTCCCCGTTGTTACAGTTTGTTAATCTCTGGTCATGCAACGCGAAGGTTAGTGGAGCACGTTTCTCGCGGTGTTAATGTATTCTCAGTGATCCTATTCAGTTTGAACTTAACTTCTGTCCTGTATGGGATATCGGCCTGCGCGTGACCGATCGCAGACATCGAATCCCTAACGGTCTACACTGCCCGCTCTTTTTCGTCATCATCATCCACTATACGCGATTAACAGTACCTCTTGTGAGGTGTTGTTATGCCTAAGTCGACGCTTCAAACAGTGTCGTCGGACAACACGGTATGCATTACTCTACGAACGCTGCATCGTCGCGTTGATTCACATTGTAATGCGGTCTTCAGAATACAGTCAGAACTGGTCGTTTTACGTGTATACAGTGTGAACGAACATTCTCCTGGAAGAGAGACTTCGAACGCCACAGGTTAATTCATATACCTGAGCACGTCAAAAAAAAACGGTCAGTCTCGTTGAACGTTCTCGAAAGGCCGACAGCTCACAATCGGTTTCATAGTTCGCAACGATGTCTTTGGCCAGGTTGTGGTTACTCCTCCATTCATCAAAGCGTTTTGATTGAGCATATAAATTCACAGTAAGTCTTTGTCTCGCTGATTCATACTAAATGATAATTAACAACACTCGATATAGCACGGGGCTCGTCACGTTCAACTGCCTTGTTGAAGGTTGCACGTTTTCGACGCGATCTTCATCCTATCACTCGTATCATGTCAAGAAAGAACATCAGACGTCACCACTCGCGATATACAAGAAGATGGGTAGACCACCTTGGCACCCGGCAGTGGATATCAGGAAACGTCTCATACAATCGTTCAAATCCAGTCAAGTTGGGATCGATTTTCGCCGTGCCGATTCTTCGTCACGGATTGCGGCGTCTGAACGTCTCCCTGGTATATCGAATATCATCGATCAACTCTCTCGCCACAACTCCATGGAATTTCTTGCTTCAGCTCCTTCCACCATATGCGATCATAACGCAATCATTGATCGTGAACAATATCTTGAAGTATTTCACCCATCTACAGGAGAACCTATCCGAAATCAACGATTGAGGTATTCAGCTACCAGTTTTACCACCACACGCGGAACCGAAGACATATCACTTCCTCCATGTTCCTCTCTGCTGTATCTTGGTGTCGTACATCATTGAAGTACGATGAACCACAAGTGATCGGCTTGCAGTGTTCGGCGACAATGAACGAAGTAATTACTCGAATCATGTCGAAATGGCGAACCGGTATTTCGAACATCTGCGATATGGCTACATCTTCCGTCACTGCATACTCACGTTCCAATTATTCGCTAACCATATGACACGTTGCATCAACTTGATCGTTCTTGTACGATAATACACAGAGGTGGTTACATGGTGTGAATAGAGAGATCAGCAGCGAAAAGCAGCATTTCTGTGTACATTGGAGAACGCGCTGGACCAGCGTAGGAACGAGACAGGTAATATCGCAAGAAAATAAAAACGGTGTTCACGGAAAAGTCGATACAGTTTAACATAGTCCATACGGTAATGATGAGAAAATTTTGAGCGCAGTGATGTTAGGAGTCAATCGAAGGCCAGATATAGAGATCATAAGACAGGTGGTTTGCGACATCTATCTTTGAAGGCTTTACCGGGCCGGCCAAGATCGGACTCGACGAATGGGTGGATTGCGGTTTGATCGTTGAAGTGATTAGGGTATAATGTGGGATCGCGACTGTATTCATAGTGTAACGGTAGCCAGCCTGGTAGACGTAAGTATCCATGACGGTGAATAGAGAGATGTTGCATGGAAAACAGACGCGAGGACCATGTAGGCAGGGGCGAAACCCAGCGACGAACATGAGAAGTTTGATAAACAGGACGGACATGATCAACCTGACGAATGCGACAAAGAGATCGGTGATAGCGGTAACATTTTCTACATCGAAGAATGCGGAGAGATGTAACGCGGTCGATTATATTCGGCGGTACTGGCGTTGTTTGGCAATGCGACATTAGGAATGGAAGATAGGCACAACTATTCGGATTGGTTGGGTGTGAATCGAACGTTAAGGAGCAGATTGAAAAAAAGAATGCCGTACTCGTATATTCCATGAACACGGACCCGCTCACCGTACCTTGCTCTTAACCGTTTACCCCCGCGATTTGCGTTGAGGCTGGCCATTTGCTTCCACGTCAGACTCCGCACCCTTGACCGCCTGTCGCTTGGACGATTTGGTCGACTAATAGAGCAAGAAACATACGTGAGCATGTAGTATGTGTTTACTATTGGCATAATATAATACCTCGAACACGAGAACCTCCAACCACACTTGTCATAACGGTGATGCACTGTCTTATTTTGCATTGGTATTATTGCCAATGTGACTATCCCGAAGAAAGCATTGCAGATAATAATGATGAAAAATCTGTGGAGTTCGTATACATGGTCGTCATCGCGCTCCTGCACTATGCCATCGTTGAATGTACGTGAACAAGATGCACAAATCTGAAGGTAAAAGTGGAGTCCGGTGGACGATGCTCTTGATCGATCAGTCATGTGATACAGTTCGTAGGGAAAACCGAGAACCTCGATATTACGACCCGAGTAGCTGACCAATATCTATAGCGAGAACCGTTGACGCACTTTACTATACTTTATACCATGATTAAGGTATCGAACGCGACTCGATGTGTACTGCTCTTCGTGTTTGACTCTTGAGGCTCTTCTCGAACGGCGCGGCATACACTCACATTCTCCACGATCTTTCACATGGTTGTCGTTGAATGCGACCTGCCGGAATGATCAATAACGGCATTTCCTATGAACACAAAACTCAGAATACCGAGATATCGCCACGTGTTGAACTATCATCATCTTTATTGCCATGACGTTGATTGATCCCGCGTCTTTCACACAGTTTAAATTGACTGGTCCTTGTACCCGTGATGGATGCTTTTGCCTTAAATTGGTCATGCCCGAATATAGATAGTCTGGAGCGGGCATGGTACTGTACAACACTACTTAACGCCATGATGTGATATAAATAGACCCGAATGTCCGCTTTCGACGTTGTGAACCAAATTTGTGTACTTATCCCAGTGGTTGTAGTACTTATATAAAGGAATATATCACGACTAGCAGTGCATATCTCCTTATTCTGCTTAACGCATGATCGGCAACCAGCGGCCTGTTACTTTTAGGAACGCAGGGAAGGCAGGCACGGCCGAGATTTCCTAGAGGTATACTAGACAGCAGAGCGATAAACACAAGTCTTATTAACAACAATTAGACGTGCAAGCATCTCCGCTCGTCTCATCAGTCAGCTGGTCCCAAGTCGGCGCACCGGTTTTTATTCCATGCTCGTTTCTATTTCGATGACTATGTCGTGCTTGAACGTGTGTGTGTGATGTTCCTGTTAAATAGTGAGTGTTGACTTCGAAGATAATGCATGGTTGAATGTAGCAACATCAGCATAGATAGATCGGTCGCTATAATGAGTTCTCGTTTGCACTAGAAGTGTTTCGATAATGCAGCTATTTACGGATATCCGTGGATTGACAGCTTCTGTGAATAATGACATATAATTTTTTGCGTTTTAAGGAATTGATAGGGAAGGTCACGCCGTCACAAAGTACAGATCGTGGATAATTCTGTGAACGATGCATCAATGTATTCGACTATCTATACGGCTATACAAAACTAGTAAATCTATATGCCGGTGTCAACTAGTATACGTTCGAGTTACCAGACAACGCATAATGTACGACTGATTACCGTTGTTCTTACGGTCCTGTCACGGGAAACTTTGGGATGAGATAAATCGATATCGATGAAAGGAATCGCGAACAACCACAGCCAGCCTATTTTTATGGAAACAACACCAGAAGGTATTTCATGTCGTACGTTGTTCTTCGTCTTCATATTGACCAATACCGACTGCTGCTTCCCAGATTTTGTGTAATCTCTCTCGTAGTTCCGTCGATAACCGGGTGTCGAACGTTTCGCCTGGAGGTCTCATATCACACCTGCCGGGGTGAGATTTGTAATGTCTTCTTGCATTGTGAATGGCCGAGAACCGTCTCGAACAACCAGGCAAAGCGCATCCAAATGCTGTAACCATGTACGATAAATACGACCAGGAAGACCGATAAATCCGTGACCACGTACGCAGTTTCGGCATGTGCATAAACTCGTGCCTTCTTAGCGATGAAAGTCGTTTGAGCCATTTGTTGCAAACACCGCACTGGTATCTGTGCCCGCCTCGAAGATCCCAACTGATATTCGGTACCTTCCTTGACTCTTCGATATTCTTGACGATCGTGCGGTCTGAGGAGGCACCGGCTCGTTGAATAGTAACCTTCATAAGTTGAACGTCGTCCTACGCCGTAGATATAACGCATAGAATTTTGAGAAAGATTGACAACGCTCACCATCTCATGATCAGAATCGTCTGACGGTGATTGACATCCTCTCATTAATGTCGACAGATATCTGGCTTCGGGATCGTCTATTTCTTCCCATCGACCTTGACCAATGAGTCGGAATGTCCGGAACGTCTGTTCGTGAGCTTCCAACGGTCGACACGATGTAGATTTCCATTCGGCGTCGAACATCTCGTAATCAAGAGCGAAGAAGTCCATTGTAGATCCATTATCGTGTTGCAGATATCGTTGCCAACCACGACGGGTCTTGCGGCGAGCTATGGAATTGTTGGTATGACAATATTGACTAACATCGAGCGAAGCCGACAGTGCCCTAGTTGCACCAACTAGCGGTGTGTTTTCACGTGAGTCGGCCTCAGGTAAGTCAATAACAGGCAACGGTTGGTGGATGATACCTTGTGACGGCCCTGGTTCTTGTTCGAGGATAGAGTCGGTGGACGGTTTCGATATGCCGTCTCGGTGCGGCGATATCGCGTTGAGGTCTACTATCCCTTTCCTCTGTTCTTCAAGAATTAGATGCAACCCATGACTGTCGAACTGGCGAATGTCGGCTTACGTTGGGTACTGCAACTTCGACCAATGCGTGTGCTATCTCCGAATGTGCGCTGAGCTGAGTAGCCAATAGAGAATGATCTTTGAACTCGGTATTTGCACACCAATGAAGCTTGCCGTGTTGGTAGAGAGTGTGAGGATGAGTATACGGTCGATGAATGGCGAAGTCGTGCCTTGCTCGACCATGAACCACGTCGACGAACGTCTGCCCACGAAAACCGTCTGCTGTGACCAAAATTGCTGGTGTTGATTCCATCGCAAGCCGGTATCGGACGAAAGCGCTCGACAACCCCGGTGGTTTTGATTAGAACGTATCGTCCGCTTATTGGCGTGAAAAACGTGATACTTGAGCGAGGTTGATGAACGGTGAGGTGTCGGAAGAAATAGAGCCCTAGTTGACTAGCATGCGTATTACTAACACGACCGGACTTCCCCGCCGAAAACCCAAACGGCTAGGAATAGCAGTTCGAGTTTGGGTAGAAACTACAACGGTAAGTAGGTTTCTCGGAAAGTAAACGTTAAGGGCACTCACACGGCGATCAAATGCCAGTTGCCCACGGATGCCGTAGAATGGTATATACATGAAAAAGTTGATGTGATAGACGCGCGCAAACTATAGGGATCGAGCTGGAAATTTCGACCGCAACTGTAGAATATGTGTCAGATTGAGAGGTCGGAATATGCGGATGTATCAACGCACCTAAGATTTCGTTGGAGTACACACACACGGTAGCTTACCGTTTTCCGTAAGAGGAAGTGCAGAAGAAATATTGTACTACGGTGATATCTATAAATATGGCACCACCCCGTTATTTCCGAAGAACAGTTGATTGAACGGTCTAAAACACGAATCATATGGTTGGCAACATTGTACCTCCGCACCGTAGATAATGCAGCATTTGCTAGGCCGTCATCGATTATGTTTGTGCCGCAAGACCGAAATATCGAATAGTTTGACGTCGGAGAGGTGGTATAATCTTGGTCTTCTTCAACATCTCCTAGAAAACACAAATATATTTTCCGATGAAACGCGACCGACTTCCTGAACTTACCACGTTACTTGTGCCACGGTTTTTGGATTACTCCACGGGTTTCCATGCAGGATTCCAGCCAATTTTCTCCATACAGACCAAGATGAACCTGTATAAGTCCCATTCCGGTGAACAATCAGAAACACGGCTACGTCGACCAGAACTCGATAGACGCATGCAAATCATACATATACCCATCGCAGTTCATCATACGATCATAGCACTTACCGGTATCACGTCAGCACTTACCGATATCACGTCTGGATGATCAACGACTTTCTCGGAAACAATAAATTGAACCATTCGAAGATTCGACGATGCTAAAAATGTATGTTCATGACTGACGGATGCGCACTTCTTCAGAAAGCCACAACCAATCACGTGTCCCGTGATCAATGGTCCTGGAAAACTGATGTCATTCATCTCTCACTCGTTCCCTCGGGTACGCTGAACACTACCTTATAGCAATAGAACATGCAATAAAACATAGCTTATTCACGCTGTTCGATACCTAGACGAATGTGGTATCCTGTCGCTGTTGTATTTCGTCGACATGATACATTCGAACGTTAGTCCCGGTACCTACACGATTTGTGAGTCTGGCTATGGACGGCATCAACATTGGACATACTCGGCTTGAGGAACTCCGACGATATGTTTCGCTCTAGCAGTATAAGCGTGTTCTAGCAGTACGCGCGCGTGCAATATTATATTCGGTGCTAGTCAGGCCAAAGCAGCCGATGACGAGGCAAATCGCTGGTATTCTGCCTTGAACACTGTATTCGTCATCAACGTTGTATCTGCCAATCATGATTGTAATCGTGGTCACACATTCTATCACAGTATCCAGTGCTCAAGAATCACATTCTCTTTTCCTGTCAGCAAAACCTTGTCCTTGTCGTTCCCCGTTGAAGATCCTATCACATAGGTACAGATTTTTTTCCGATTTGGCGAATAAGATCCCGCAAGTCTGAACCTTCCACTATTGAGATGCTTCTTTCCTATAAGTTCTCTTATGCATTCGGTTGATATTGGCATAGTACGTACCTGTCTCACGAAGAGGCATGCTATCTCTCACTGAACGTAATGTTGTCCATATTAGGTGCTGATGCGCTTTTGGACTACCAGAATATGAAATTCAAATGCCCATGTAGCATCATTCCCTTTTTCGGTCGTTACCGGTTGAAGAATCGCAAAATAGAAGTACGCAACGAATTCGACGTGTGCGTATGGCATTCCAGACCGGTGCGGCGACTTCCTATTATCAGACGCGATGTTCGCACCATGCCGTCCTGCAATATAGTCGCGGTCATAATGAACGGGCGTTAATAACGTACCTTTCTTCGTTATCCACCAGTTCTTCGCCCTCTACTGTTGTTGTCTTGAACTGCAAGGTGTCGCCCTGCTGTTTTACTCGATCTCTCGACATGAACATCACTTCCGAGTGCGAACAACGTTCCTTTACATTTCCCGACATCTTGGCTCTTCGGTACCGCGATTCGTTGGTATACGTGCGACCGGCTCCCGACCACGATGTAAGCGAGCTCCTATAATCAGATCCATCTGACATAGCATGAGTAGAAAGCCGTTCAATGTGCAAAATACGCCTTTCATGAACTGCAGGCCTTCGACAATGATCAAATCTTCTTCTCTCTGACTGTGACGGTCGAAAGCAAGTACGAGACAGTCACGATCACCCCGGCGGCTTGGCCTGCGGTCGTGTCAAAACTCACGCAGTTTGAAATCTTGAACGTCTTCATTGTCGGGCTGGAGGAAGATACACCTCCGATATATACAGAAACCTCACTCGCGGCGACTGCCACTATCAAAAAACCTCGTTTTCCGTCTTTTGTTACGACCATCCAATCATGGTTCCGCCGACATTTCCAATAATATATTCAGAATAAGCAACACTCATTTCGGTTAGCGAGACGTTGCATGTGTGATTGAATATACAACTCACATCTGTGTAAAAGATTCCATAAATGCACTTTCGTTCCATCCGAGTCGACCTATATATGTGTTTTCTCGTAAATTTATATCGGGCACGCCTAATGGTCTTCGCTGTACCCGCTTGCTCACTACACATTCCGTGTATGACGACGCAAACATGCCTGAGTGTCCAAAGGTATAGTTATGGGCTTCGCCCACCCACACGAGTAAGCTGCGTACAGCATAGGCAACTAGACGCTCGCGCTGTTGCTTCAAGTCAACTCTTTTTCAATGTCGCGAAGGTCCGACTGTGCGTCGAGCGCCAACTCAATCACGGCGTTCTCATACACCTGATCGTCGCACGAACCATCTTCTTCAATACCATCGTCCTCGCCATAATTCGCGATGGTTGACACGATCGAGGAAGACCATAAATCAACGTAACGCAATTGGTCCGTTAAAGCCGCCGACGGCGCTTTCAGCTGCGACCAATAACCTGAATGGAAGAAAATGTTGACACCCGCGAATCGACGGTGTTCTCACTTTCGCGTCTATTATACCATTTGTATCATCGAGGCGGGAGAACCATGATGCTGAAGTGTTACTTAAGCGTCGTTCTCCCTCTCCCATCATGTTCGATAGCCATCGTCTCTGCGTCTCGTCCGAACTGTTACCGCCAAGGAGAGACCAAGTCAAACGAAACCTTCAAAGTTTCGGTATAGATATATGATGCCTAACCCGTTTCCTGTAAGTCTCCGCAATGTAACATCTTCAAGGGGTCACTAACATATCACTGTCCATAGGAAGGAACTCGCGTTTTTTTTTGGGATGCATATGGCGACCTCCTGTTTGGATCTGTAACTCAAACCGCTCGATTGGGAGATGTAAGCGCACGCACTGCCATTTCATTCTGAGGCCTAATTCTTCCGTTGTTCTCTCGTACAGGGTACTCAGGTTGCGACGGTCAAACTGGACAACACTCCGGTGCCGCAGACTTTTCCGTGTGTATTTTCTTTTCTGCGGAGGCAATCGACGATGGTCATTAAATTCCATCAACTGCTAGGACGGCCAGTCTAAGCAAATCGTGAATCATCGAACATGATCTTGTTCGCCCTGTTTCCACGAACTGCGGTTCCGCTTCGAAGTCATATTGATACACGTCGAGCGTTACCTAAAATCATGTAGTAACAACTTCGTGAACTTTCATCGTCATTCAGTTGTGTTCACGGAAGACTCACCGATTCTTTACCATACATGCAGTTTTTTCGACTATAACTACCTGATCACGCCGCTGACGTACTCCGCGCATATAGTTCATCATCATTCCCATTTATTCATAACAATTCAACTTCGAAATGATGTTTTTTTTTTGCCTCAGGGTGTGAAAGGGGGAGTCGGATATTGGCGTTTGGCGCCTACTTTTACACGTATTAGATCTAGGAAGGTGGTTGTTCCCGAGCATCGTGACTGATTATGCCAAGGATCGGTGGTCAGATGCGACGCCGGAGTGACTGTGCCCATGTATTTGTTCTTCGATACATGTATCAATGTGGTCTTAGTGGCCAAGGATGTCAGTTGCGATCCTCGTCCCTAAGACGTGAAAGCACGGAGGCAATGCCAAGTTCGACGTGACTGTACGATCGCCAACTTGCAATTCCCTTGAGCCAAACTCAGATCCGTTTTCATCGGCCCACCAGTGGCAGTCACCCCGTACTGCATTGCGTATCTCCCCATGGCAATCCGCCCGAACCTGACTCTGCACAGAGTCACCTTAAGTTCCTCCAGCAGCATTTAAAGGATTCTGATTCCCCGGCTGCGCATCGCCGAACATGCCTTTGCGACCGCTGACGCTCGTCCTCAACTCGAACAACTCGCAGAAGGCGACGGTCCTACTCCCCGCGGACGTCCCCGATGCGCATGCATGGATCCTGAAAGAGGCCCGAAACAAACTCCGGATCCGATCGCTCAAGCGCGTGTTCCTACGCGGCGGCGCTGAGCTACAACCGGGCGCGGCGCTCGATCCGGACTCGGACGCGTCCGAGGTGTGGGTGTCCAAGGGCGAAGAGTATATTGGGCCCGCACCAAAGCAAGGCGGAAGTGTGCCAGGCGAAGCCAAAGACGTGGTGAGGGTCATCGCGCAGGAGAGCTACGTCGACCCCGAGGCCGTCACGCAACTGAAGGCGGTGGCCGCCTTGCCTGGCGTACGGTGAGCATATACTCGTCCCGCGTACTGGCGAAGGGAAGAGTGCGCCCTCTCTGATACCCGCGACTCCGCCCAGATTGGCAGCAGGAATGCCCGATCTGCACCCCGGGAACCGGTTCCCCATCGGATGCGCCATCGTCGCAGAGGGCATATACCCTGCCCTCATAGGCAGCGATGTCGGTGCGTGCATCCCTCATACTCCTCCTACTCCTCCATCCGGGCGTCATCTCGTCGCCATCTTCTTGCTGATGCTTGACCTTCGCAACTGACCAGGCTGCGGCATCGCTCTCTACCACCTCGCGGCCATCCCCGCGCGACTCGACCCGCCCAAGCTCGCCGCGCAGCTGCGCGGGCTAGACGACCCATGGGACGGCGACGTCGCCGTCTGGCTCGCGCGATATGGCATTGCGCGCGCGTCCGAGTTCGACCGAACCGCGCTGGGAACCGTCGGCGCGGGCAACCACTTTGCGGAGGTCTGCAGGCTCGAGAAGGCCCTGGACGGGGAAGCGTGCGACTTACTTGGGCTGGACGGGACGCATCTGTACTTGATGGGTAGGTTTTCATGGCGACTGCTCGTTTGTCCGGAATGATTGCATCGCTGACTTGGTGATCGGTTCGTCTGTGTTGGAAGTGCATTCTGGGTCGAGAGGGCTCGGCGCGTCGATCCTGGAAAAGCAGACGCGCACGTCGGCCAACCCGTACATCCCGCCGGACTCGCCTGAGTTACCCGCGTACGTCGCCGAGCACGACTACGCCGTCGCGTGGGCAGTCGCGAACAGGGATCTCATCGCGCACCGAATTTCCCGGTGTCTCTTCCCCGGCGACGGCGGCGACGACGATCAACCTGATAGCGACAGATTGACGCTGCGCAAGATCGTCGACATAACGCACAACTCGGTCGTGCGCGTAGACGGTACCGCGCCGGTGCTCGGGGATCTGTCTCAGGCGGCGCCGGGCGAGGAGCGCAATAGGGATGTGTGGATACATCGCAAAGGTGCCGCGCCGGCCGACCGCGGAGTCGCACCCTGCCCCGGGAGCAGAGGCGACTTCAGCTGGCTTCTCATGCCGACCGGCGACGGGGCGAACAACGGTGCGTAAGGTTTTCGTCAATCTGCATCAAGGGTCCCGCCGTGCTTCCCACCTTCCCTCCTTCTATTTTTTTCCGCGTGCCTGCAGGCCAGGGGAAAGGTGTGGGTGGGTGGGGGACCGCACCTCGAACAGCCCATCTGACCGCGGTTCGTTTTTTTTTCAATATCATCTATAGCACATTCGCTAGCGCATGGCGCAGGACGGATGTACCCGCGCGCGGCGATGCACAAGTACAAGGATCAGAAGGGCGGAAAGGCCGAGCGCGAGGCGCTGGCGAGTACCGCGCTGGGCTCGGAGGTCGTGTGTGCAGACCCGGCGCTGCTCGTCGAGGAGCGGCCGGAGGCGTACAAGAGCTGCGAGGGAGTGGTTCGCGACTTGGAGCTCGCCGGCGCGGCAAGAGGGGTGGCGGTACTCAGGCCCGTGGTCACGTACAAGATTCGCGAGGGCGCGAGGAGGAAGGCTTGAAGAAGGATGTCTGGTCGGGATCAGAGTGCATCATGCCGTGGAGGTGTGGATCTCCGCGATTCCGAGGGGTGTCTCAGGAACGATGACATGCGCGACGGCTGCGGAGAATGTCTCAATGCGATCGATCTCGCCGACGACGGAACGTGAAGTGCGAGGAGGAGCACTGTGTTGAAATATGAAAGAAGGGGCGGTCAAAATCGGTGTTTCGATGGTTCAAAATCGGGATGAATGGTCGGGGATCGCGGCCAGGAGGAGCGAGCTATGGTGCTGGGGTGGGATGCTGAGGAAGGTTCTCGTTCTGGGCGACGCTCGATGAAGGATGGCGGACGGCGAGATAAAGAACCGTCGCGGTCGTGGGCTGCAAGGGCTCGAGCTGTTGTTGGGCGTCGCCCTGGTGAGAGTTCCAGCGCCGGGTTTGGATCTCATGCATACGGCGTTGGTGCGGTGTGTTGCCCCGTCTTGACGCGAGTGTAGCTTACCGGAGGACATATGGGCTGCAATGGGATGGCATGGTGGGTGTGCCGTGTCACCCCCCGGATGGTTTTGTGATGGAACGGAGAAGTGTAAAGTCTCTATAGCACGGCTGCGGCGAAATCCCGGTGGCAGCGACTCTATATGCTCAACGACTCATCGTCTTCGTATGCCAGCGCCGCAATATAATTTGGATCCGTTCTTACTCGGATGAGGCTTAGCAATGGCATAAATGCGAGTGGTCGCCCGAGCAAAGGCAAGACCCCAGAGGAGGAGCGGTGCTCGGGGTCCTGGCGATGCCACGACCGGTGCGGTCCCCTGCCTATCCTGCCACAGGTGCCCAATCGCTGGCCCGCTATATCCGTTGGCCGGGGCCATCTGCTCGAAAGCGTTTAGGCACCCGTTCATCATATAAGAGCTGTCGCTCGTCGTCGTGCGCAGCGATATCGCTCCCCTTCCTCGTACATCGCCGTACATCCTTCTACTCATACTCGACTCCCGCCCCCTCTAATTTTTCCGATCCGACACAAAAGAACGACACACGACCACCTCTCTCTCCCGTCGAGATGAGCGACGTCTCCTGCGGCAAGGGTGGTGGCTCGGACTCGCACTTCCACCTCCGGATAGCGAGTGTGTTCATCATCCTCGTGGGCAGTATGTCGGGCGCGCTGTTCCCCGTCCTGGCAAAGCGGACGTCATGGCTGAGTGTTCCCAAGCCCGTCTTCGAGTGCGTGCCGTTCGCTTTTTTGGTCTGGTGCCCAGCGCTTCCCCATCCCGTCCCTCATTCTCCGCGCTCTTCAAAGTGCCGCTTTTGCCTTTGGTTTATCACTGCCGGGATAAAAAGGACGAACTGACCGGCTCTGCTTGTGACAGCTTCGCCAAGTACTTTGGTTCGGGCGTCATCGTGAATCCATCTACCCTCTCAATGATAAACGCGGATGGTGGGCTTACCTCTTACCCTCTTTGTTCCATAGATCGCGACGGCCTTCATACATCTCCTCGACCCTGCGTCGGACGAGCTGACGTCACCCTGTCTCTCGGACGCATGGAGGGTATACGTGAGCCACGCCACCCGTGTATCCCGCCTGGCGCCGCGTACTGATGTTCACATCTGCGCTTTCCAGCCGTACGCGTTCGCACTCGCGCTGCTCAGCATATTCTCGATATTCATCGTCGAGCTCATCGCGTTCCGATGGGGCACCGCCAAGCTCGCCCGCCTCGGCATTCGACACGGTATGAGTATCACCGTCGTCTGATGCTGATGATCCCTGACGATGTCGTCGTGATCGCCAGACCCGCACGGTCACGGTATCGGCGGGCACGCCGCGCACGGGCCTGAGGGCAACGTCGAGGGGCTGGAGGGCAGCGCGGAGGGCAGCGCGGAGAAGGGCGCGCTGAAGGCGGACGACTCGTTCGGCACCGAAACCCACGTCCACGAGATCTCGACCGACTCGGCGCTCGCGCAGGTTATTGGCATCGCGATCCTCGAGTTCGGTGTGCTGTTGCATAGGTCAGTTACTCGACGGTTGCGCGTGCGTGCGAGGGCTGACGGGGTTCTTAACGCCTCTAGCGTGTTGATCGGGCTGACGCTCGCCGTCGACAAGGACTTCATCACGCTCTTCGTCGTGATCATCTTCCACCGTGAGTCTCTCGTCGATTGGGTCGGAGACCTTGACCCTGACGCAGCTTTCCCGCCCAGAAACGTTTGAGGGCCTCGGTGTCGGCTCGCGGCTCGCTTTCATGCGCCTCCCGGCGAAGTACAACTACGTGCCGATCGTGGGCGCGCTCGTGTACGGGATCGCGACCCCGATAGGTATCGCGGCCGGGCTCGGTGTGCGGACGACGTACAACCCGAACAGCGCGGAGGCGAGCATCGTGAGCGGCGTGATGGACGCGCTGTCGGCGGGGATCCTGATCTACACGGGCTTGGTCGAGCTCCTCGCGCACGAGTTCTTGTTCAACAAGGAGATGATCGAGGGCTCGAACGGCAAGCTCGCGTACGCGCTCGTGTGCATGTTGGCCGGATGCGGCATCATGGCGCTCCTCGGGCGGTGGGCGTGAGCGGCGAATGCCACGGAGTCGCGCCCCACATGCGAGAAAGAGAAGAAAGTCGTGTGGGCGTAGTGGCGTTGCAGGGAGAAGGAAGGAGGGAAGCCGGCGTGCTTCGAACGTGGTGAACTTCTAACTTACTTATCTTCGTCGTTCGGAATCGCATCGCAATGCTGTTTTTGTTGTTTGTACCCACGCCTTGCACCGGTCCCTTGTAATGCCCCACCCATGTAGTTGAGTAGTACCGCACGACCAATCGAACATAGAGGAACGACCATGACCCATTCGCGGGAGGAAACAGGAGGTCGGGTTGCGTGCGAGAAGGGATGAGCCGCAGGGGCAGCGTGGGTCTGCTGACGACGTGTTGGCCGGTAACGGCATTGAGCCAGGCGGCAAGGCACTGCCGACGGGGAGAGACGGCGCTCCAACTTTTCGAGCTCCGCGCCGCTGCCGAGCACGTCCTCCGTAAATTAACGAAGATGCGCGTCGTCTGCCACGTCTTCCGCTTGACCTCGTTCTTTCTGCTCGTCTTCCTCGTCTTCGTCTCGAAGTACCGGTGTGGGATGCAGGCGTTGTGGTCGCTCGCGAGAGGCTGCGGCCGCTTGGAGGACAAGCTGATCTGGGGAGCGTTCGGAAGATCGGTCCGATCTTATCAGGCGTCCGGCACCCCACGGACCGCCCCCGCGGTGAGCGCATGAACCCCTTGAACGGTTGAGGCGGGGAAGGCAAACCAAAGCAGCTGATTGAATTTATACCCCGCCACCTTCATCCCGACCTCCTCCTTCACCTCATATCCTCCCGCCTATGGGCATCGTCCAGTCCGCGATATTCAGCATCCACTCTCGCCTTTTCTCCGTCTTTGGACCTCGCAGGATCATGGCCGCACCGTTGAAGCAGGGCGAGTTCGTCGGCTCGCTCGACTGTGGTACTACGTGAGCGCTTTCTCTCTCCTGTTTTTCGAAATCGCCCGAGGCCAATGACGACGACTGATTGCCAGCTCGACGCGATTCATAATCTTCGACAAGTACGCCAACATCGTCGCCCAGCACCAGATCGAGTTCCCCCAGTATTACCCTAATCCTGGGTTAGTCCGCCCCGAGATCTTGATCCGCCCGACTCATCTTATCTTGTCTATCTACGATTCATCCGTGCAGATGGCACGAACACGATGCGGAGGAGCTGCAGACGAGCTGTGAGACGTGCATCGACAAGGCGACCGAAAAGCTCGAGGCGGCTGGCTTCACGCGGGACAGCGTGAAGGCGATCGGGATCACCAACCAGCGCGAAACGACGGTCGCGTGGAGCAAGAAGACCGGAAAGCCGTTGTGCAAGGCGATCGTCTGGGATGACGGCCGGACGAAGAACGTCGTCGCGCATTACGAGACCGTCCTCCGGGAGACCGGGCTCGAGGTCGAGCCCGGCGTGTTCAAGAAGGGCGAGGAGGGCATCGCTGCTCTTCGGGAACTGTAAGCGCTATAGGCTGATGACTCGTGGAGGACTGCCGAGCGTTGCTTACGATTGTTGCAGGACTGGTTTGCCGCTGTCCACGTACTTCTCCGCGATCAAGCTTCGATGGATGTTCCACTACCATGAATCCGTCCGGAAGGCGTCCGAGGAGGATGACCTCCTCTTCGGCACCGTCGAATCGTGGATCGTCTACGTAAGCTGTTCCCGGATGCATTTTTGATACCAAAGCTCACCCGGGTCTCATAGAACCTTACCGGTGGCGCTGAGAAAGGCCTGCACATCATCGAGATCACGAACGCCTCGCGCACGCTCCTGCTCAATCTGAAGACGCTCTCCTTTGACCCGGTCCTGCTCAAGTTCTTCGGGTTTAAGGAGTCGATGCTCCCCAAGGTTGTCTCTTCCTCCGAGGTCTACGGCCACGTCGACCACGGCGCGCTCAAGGGCGTGCCGATCGCGGGCCTGATCGGCGACCAGCAAGGCGCGCTCGTCGGCAACAAGTGCCTCCGCCAGGGTGAGGCCAAGTGCACGTACGGCACCGGCGCCTTCCTGCTCTTCAACACCGGCGCGGACATCGTCACCTCTGCGCACGGCCTGCTAGGTACCGTCGCGTTCCAAGCGGGCGCGGGCGCCAAGCCCGTGTACGCGCTCGAGGGCTCCATCTCCGTCGCGGGCAGCGCCGTGACCTGGCTTCGGGACTCGATGAAGATGATCGCGACCGCGCAGGAGGTGAACACGCTCGCGGAGCAGGTCCCGTCCACGGGCGGCGTCTACTTCGTCACCGCCTTCTCCGGGCTGCTCGCGCCGTACTGGGACCCGGGCGCGGCGGGCCTGCTGATCGGGCTGACGGCGTACACGACGCCGGCGCACCTCGCGCGCGCGACGCTCGAGGCGAACGCGTTCCAGACGCGCGCGGTGATCGAGAGCATGCAGCTCGACGCGAAGACGAGGCTGGAGCACCTCAAGGTCGACGGAGGGTTGACCAACTCGGACGTCGGGATGGAGATCGTCGCCGACCTCGGCGGGTTCGACGTCGTCCGGCCGGAGATGCGCGAGAGCACGGCGCTGGGCAGCGCGCTGCTCGCCGGGAGCGCGATCCGGTTCAACGGGTGGGACGTGACCAAGCCCGAGACGCTCGCGGAGGTGAACACGAAGGGGAACAAGACGTTCGCGCCGAGCATGAAGGAAGAGGAGCGCGCGAAGCGGTGGGCCGGCTGGCAGAAGGCGGTCGAGCGGTCCAAGGGCTGGGAGGAGGGCCAGGACGCCGACGCGTAACGCGTCGCGGAAACGAACAAAAAACACGCATTTACCCCGTCCGCTCTTCAACTTAAATCACATTGTGTATTTTATTGGTCTCTGGCGCAATCCTTGCTTTGTATTGTAATCGCGTTGTACCATTCCTGCTCTGCACGTTCGAGTAACCCCCGGGACTGAGTGTATGCTGATGGATGCAGAAATAGTATATGATGCAAGTGTGATACCACAACGAAGGTATGCAAGGTGTGGTCGGCGATCGTCCCACGACGCCAGTCTAAAGTAATATGAAGCAGTCCGACCGAGGCGGACCGACGCTCATGGTATACCAAACCTGGCCTTCTCGTCGGCGGTCCATTCGAACACCGGCAGTGGGTGCGCCTCAGTGTTGAACACCCACTTGTCGAGCGGGACGAGGTCGTCGTCCGTGAACAGCAAGTACAGGTACTTGAGTCTGGCATTCAAAGGCGTGCCGTTAGAAAAAGTGACCTGCGAGAGAAGGAATAGGGAGAAGGTGGGCTCACGTCTCGGCGAGGTAAAAGCTCGGCATGTCATCCTTCTGCGGTGCGGGAGAAAAGTCGACGTTGCGAATGCTGGCGTACCCGCTGGGCGTCCACGCCTCGCGTTCGATAGCCGCGAATATGTCCCAACCACGGTTCCGCCACCGGACGTCTCCCGTCGTGCGCCACATCAGGTACAAGCTCTCCACCGTCTGTTCAATGCGCGTCAGCGACGTACCATTCTCACATGTCATCCGGACGTTGCTCACCTCGGGCCGGAGCAGGTACTCCATCTTCCGCGCGGCGTAGTCTCGGTCTCGCCCCTTGGGCCTGTTCGAACCCGCGGACTTCTCGTCGTCGCTGTAGACGATCGGCCTCTCCTCCTGCACGCCGGGCGGGCTCCCGCGCCTGCCGCGCACGCGCCACTTCTCGAGCGCGTCCACCCAGCGCACGTTCCGCCGCACGGTCCCGCCCGCGCCCTTGTTCGTGCCGGGCTCGGGCGTGACGGGCACGCTCTCGGCGTGCATCGTCATCTCGTCCGGGCCGAGGCCGGAGCGCTGGTCGGCGTAGGAGAGGTAGCAGGCTTGGGCGAGGCCCTCGGCCGCCCAGCGGTGGACGTCGCTCAGGCGGTACTTGCCCAGCAGCGCCCAGTTCTCTTGCGCGGCGGGGGAGAGGTCGGCGGAGAGGGCGGGCCAGGAGATGCCGAGCGAGGGGAGGTCGTCGAGCGGGAGGAGGTGCGCGCCGAGCGCGAGCAGGCCCGGGAAGAAGCAGGAGAGGTGCTCGAAGCGGTGGGAAAGGAGGAATTGCGGGCCCCGCGAGTCGGTGACGTAGAGGAGTTTGCGGGTTGGGGTGAGGTACAGGAGTTGGGTGAGGATGTGGGTTGTCGCGCGGAGGTACATCTCGAGCGATTTGCGGTCGGTGCGCGAGGTGAGGAGGTATTGCTTGAGGAGGTATTCGTGCGCGCTATCGGCGGCGGCGCCGACGGTGAGCTCGTCTGTGAGCGATACCGTCAGATGAGGCCCGTGTGATCGACGAGGAGAGCGTACCGTCCCAAGGCTTGCCAGAGGTGAGGTTGAATCGGACGGGCAGCATGCCGCCGAGGTGAGAGACTTCGGAATCGGCTTTGGCGAGGCCCTTAATGACCCCGTCCGCCTACAACCCATTCCCGCCTATTAGATGCGACTCCTGATAGCATGGCGACACGTATGAACGTACGAGGTCGTAAAACTCCTTCTTGCCCGTTGCCTTGGCGAGGTACATGTACTCGATCTGACAGCTCCCGATCTCGGCGAGCGAGCCGATGATGCTGCCACGGGCGTCGCCCGTGGTCGGGTTCACGGCGTAGACGGGGAAACCACTCGCGGTGCCGAAGGCAGGGGCGAGCTTACGCCCTAGGTCTTCGGCCTTGTCAAGTAGAAGGCGATCGCCCGAGAGAGCGTAGGCGGAGAGCAGCCCGCCGAGGTAGCGGATAACGGTTTCGAAGAAGGGAGCGTGTTCTCTCTGTGGGGAGCAGAGCCTTGAGTCCACGTGCAAGGAGAGAAGGGGAGAAGGGGCACGTACGGGGTGCATCTCGAAGGTGCAATTCTGGACGACGTCGAGAGCTTCTGTGAACTCGTCGTTGAGACCCATGAGGAGCATCGTGTCGAGCGAGTCAAACAGGCTAACGCCCCATCCGTTGAAGCTGCGCATCATGGTCAGGGTCACACGAGCACTTGCCAGGAGAAGACGAGACAGCCTTACTTGTTCTTGCTCTTGTTCGACAGCGGCAAGAGCTCATCCTTCCCGTGCGCGTAGGTGAGGTATCCCTCGTACGCGTGCATGTACGCCTGCTTCACGCGCTGAGCCTTGCCAGCCCAGGATGTGGGTTCAAGCGACTCCTCCCATGGCGCGTCTGGTCGCGGGCGGAACCCCGGCTGGCCGATGCCCGGGATCGGCGGGGGAAATGAGTACGGACGCGAGAAGAGGAAGAGGTAGAGCGACCAGGTGCCACAGAGGGCGAAGAGGGCGAAGAGGACGTGTCGGGCCGTGAGACGACCGGAGAGGGTGTCCAGCCTGGCCTGGAGGCGCATGTATTGGTAGCCTCCCATGATGAAGTTCGGTCTGGACGATGGTCCGGAGGAGGATGAGGGTGTCGAGGACCGGGTCCGGGAGGGGTGGACGGCCAGGCGGAGGCAAACGAGAGGTCCGTGCCGAGGAGAGGTGGATCGGCGGGGATGGTAGTCCTTTATGGGCGTTACTGTCTTGGCGAGGATCACCGGGCTAACTTACCGGTATAACAGAACCATCCAGCGTCCGCGAGGGTATTATAAAGGCGCTCGGAAGAAACGCGGGCTGATAACGTGGGTTTCCCGGTCGACGGGGTGCTCCTGTGGCTTGATTACCAGCCAAACGCCTCGTGGTACGAGGCTTTCAATTGATGCGAGCGTCCGCTCCCAGCCGGGAGGCAATAGAGAGCCTCAGAGAGAGAGGGGGGGAAAGGAAGAGAGATGAAAGGAATATTATGTATTATCGAGGGCGCGGGATGCGTCGACTTCGTTAGCGCAGCCAAGGAGGCGGCCAGCGCTGCCGGCTGATCGCCTTCTGCCACCACCTCCTCCGACTGCATCACCAACCCGACGTTGCTCGGTGTGCCGGCCACGCTCTGCGGTCATGTCCCACTTCGACAAGATCGTCAAGCTCGCCTGCAAGCCCAAGGCGGCGCCGCCCAAAGCCAAGGTCAATTTCTCTCCCACCCACGTCGAATGAGTGTGAGCAACGGAACGTTGACGCGCGCATGGTGGACAGTACATAGACCCGATCCTCGCCGGGACCTACTCGGAGGATGGCACCGTCGGCGACATATGCAGGGCGCTCCAGCCGCGGTTCAGGGAGCCGAATGCCATCGTACGTCCTCCACCCGACGGGTTCTCTGAGATAGTCGGGACGCTGACGGTGATAACGCTATACCGCAGGTCGTGTTCAAAGCGCTGATCGTGCTGCACACCATGATCCGCAACGGCTGCACGGACAACGTGCTCTCTTACCTCTCCTCCTCCGAAGTGCTGCACCTACGCAACGTCGCCGGCGGCAACTGGGAAGGTGCCGTAACCGTCGCCTTCTCGTTCTCCGATTCTCACCTCATCCCTTCCTATCCCTATCACCGCAGGTTACTCCGCCCCGCAAAATCTGCAGCACTATGCCATCTACCTCGACAGCCGCATACGCGCCTACCGGGATCTCAAGCACGACATCATCAAGGTCCAGTCGGAGAACAACCGGGATATGCGGTTGAGCAAGAACATCGAGGAGGAACTCGGCAGCAAGTCGTCAAAGAGCAAGGCAAGCACAAATGGCAGTGGCAGCGGCTCGCTCGCGCGGGGGAAGACGGTGGCGGGGCGCAAGCTGCGGGTGATGACGGTCGAGAAAGGCCTGTTGAGGGAGACCAAGGCCGTTCAGCGCATGATCGACACGCTGCTCGAATGTAAAGTGCGTCGTTCCTCCCGCCTCTATCCCGCCTCTCTGTTGCTGACCCTCTCGTAGTTTTACCTCGACGACCTCGAGGACGAGCTGACAATCACCGCGCTGCGCATGCTCGTCAAGGACTTGCTTATACTATTCTCGGCCTGCAACGAGGGCGTCATCAACGTGCTCGAGCACTATTTCGAGATGTCCCGCGTCGATGCCGAGGACGCGCTCAAGGTCTACCTCCACTTTTGCAAGCAGTGCGAGCGCGTCGTCGACTACCTCGCCATCGCGACCAAGCTCCAGAACCTGCTCAACGTCCAAATACCGAATATGCGACATGTGAGTGTCTTCGTACCTGTTTGTGGGGTTGTCTTGGCTGTGATTAGAATGTGGCCGGAATGGGTTGTTTGATCCGCATGTCGTTCTCTTCCTTTCTTACGTGTGTCTATCTGAGCCTCCAAACGAATCGCTATATTCCGCAGATGGGTATGTGCTGACGATTCCAGCAGGCACCGGTCTCGTTAGCGGGCTCCCTCCAAGAATACCTCGACGACCCCAACTTTGAACAGAACAGGATTGAATACAAATTGGCAAAAGAAAACGCCGATAAAAACGCAAAACTGGGCAAGGGGGCCAAGAACGGTACTTCTTCTCCCAACAAACGTGAGCATATTCATTCCCCCTTTGAGAACTACCTTACACATGATTATTCATGTACATCAGCGTCCACACCGAAGCCTGGCCCCTCGTCAGAGTCGTCGAACGCCAACGGAAGCAAGCCTGCTTCGCAATCGCAAGCAGTGCAAGATTTCTTCGAGAGCATCGAACAAGCGCAGCCGACGATGTTCAACCCCCAGACGGGCTCGCCGACGGCCAACTACTTCCAGCAGCAGGCGGCCTTCAACCCGTTCGCACAGATGCAGGCGGCACAGGCCACGGGGTTCGGAATGCCGTCGTTCGGAGGCGGAATGCAACCGCAAGCGACGGGAATGCCGTTCGGGGCCGGAGGGCTGCAGCCGCAGGCGACGGGCATGTTGGCGTTCGGGCAGATGGGCGTGCAGCCGCAGGCGACGGGGTTCCCTGGAGTACAGCAACAACATCAGCACAATCCCTTCTCGCAGGCGCAAGGCCAGCAGCAGCCGCAATTGCAAGTGCCGCAGCAGCAGAGCTCGCCGTTCCAGCAGCCGCAACAGCAGCAGCAGCTACAGACTCCTCAGCAGGCGAGCTCGCCGTTTGGTCAGCTGCAGCCCCAGCCGACAGGCGCGTTCAACCTCGGCGCGGGACTTGGCGGTGCCAGCGGCGGACTGCTACAATCGCAGGCAACAGGGGCGAATCCGTTCAGGGCGAGCATGCTCATGCCCCAGACGACGGGCTTCCCGGCGTTCGGGGCGAGCTCGTCGAATGGGGTGAACCTGTTCGGCAGCACTCCGGCGCAGAATCAAACGCCGCAAAATCAGGGGCAAGGGCAAGGACAGGGACAGGGCGGGCTCGGCGCGTCCCTCTTCGGCAGCGGTACTTCCTTCGGTTCCATCGCTCAGCCGAGCGCGTCGTCGTCGTCTTCTATCGCATCGGGCCCGTTCGCGCGCCCGGCTTCGGCGCCGCTGCGTGCGAGCCCGCCGCCCGCTCAGCCGGTCAAGACGCACCAGACGGGCTCGCGTAACCCGTTCGGGCCCGTGATCACGCCGGAGAAGGCCCCGCCGGTACCGAAGGCGCCAACGATAATGGAAATCGCGATGGGGTATGCGAATGGGAACAAGAACGGCAACAACGGCGCCGGAAACGCGGGTGGACTGCAGCCGCAGGCGACGGGCTTCCCTGGCTCGGGCCTGCAATCACAGCAAACGGGATTCCCTGGGTCAGGCTTGCAATCACAGCAAACGGGATTCCCTGGGTCAGGCTTGCAATCACAGCAGACGGGATTCCCTGGGTCATCTACGGATAGCAGCCTCTTTGGAGGTGCAGGGACGGGCACGGCGCAGAATGGGAGTGCTATGTCGAGCATCGCGTCGTCGTTCACGTTCAACAGCAACAACAGCAACAAGCCCGGGACGTCAAGCAACGGCCCGGCGTCCCCTCTCTCGTCGCAGAACACCGCGACGACCACTACGGGCTCGCTCGCGGACTCGCTTTTCTCGCTCTCGCTTTCCAGTCAGCCCACGGGCGCCACGACCACGGCGTCCACGACGGGCTCGACGGCACCATTCAGCCCAACTATCTCCGTCTCGCCGCCCGGCGCCGCGGGCGGCCTCAAACCGCAGACGACCGGGCTGATGGGCCTGAAGCAGTTCAAGCCGTCCTCATCCTTCGGCGCGTCTCTCCTCGAGAGCCTGCCGCCGATCCCGCAGAGCGGGCCCAACACGCCCGCCGCAACCGGCGGCCCGGCGACGTCCCCGCTCGACACGGCCGGCGCGAACGGAGCGGGGAGCCCGAGCGTGAGCAACACGTCCAACTTTTCGTCGCTGGGCGCGCAGCCTACGGGAATCGGCGGGATAGGGTCGCAACCGACGGGCTTTGGTGCCTTCAACGCGTCGTCGACGTCGACGCTCGGCACGAGCAGCGGGTTGACGCCGTTTGGCGGGTCGTCGCTCGGCGTCGGGCTTAGGCCGCAGATGACGGGCGCGGCGAACCCGTTCCGGGCGTCTATGGCGGGATCGCCAGCGCCTGGCGCAGGGCCCGGAGGTTCTGGCGGTAACGCGTTTGGTGGCGCGTTCACGGGAACGACGCCTACTTCGTCGTTTGGGTCGTCGATGTTCGGGCAGGGCACCGGTGCGAACGCCTTTGGGACCAACGCGACAGGCAACGCGTTCGGATCCAGCCTATTCGGCAACTCGACTACTGCGGGTCAACAGCAGCAGCAGCAGCAGCAGCAACAACCTCAGCAACAATCGCTCTTTTGATCAATGATTCACATTCAAGTAGAAACAGGGTTCCCCCTTGATCCCAACCGCATTCGCTCTTTGGACCGTTTCCCGATGTCTTTACACACTCTCACTCACATGCTATTCACGAGGTTCTCGGTCGGTTAGCAGACGCGATCCGGTTTCTTTTTCATTCTGGGTACTTATTTTCCACCATCTATACCATTGTATTCCTTTCTGTACGATCTCGTTTCCAGCACAGTCCATCCTAATCGCATGGTAATGCACGCTCGTTCTATCGTCGTTGTCGGATGTCCCATGCTAAAGCCCTTCTTCTCGACGGGAACCAAGACTGACATGACAGAGTTCACAACAATTGGCGCAACTCTCAGATATGCCTCCAACTTGAAGCTCTGAACGTATGCCATGTTTTCGCGGATACTCATCATCTATTCACCCGCCGTGAGATCCATTGCGTGAACATCGCGTATGCAAGCAAACATAAAAGAGCAAAACCAGCAATGAGGAGTTTACTGCCTATCGCTGAAGTCTCGTTCTCGACCTGTTGTACCGTGTGAACTCCATGCAGTCTGAATGCAGGTGACGGCACTCACCACGCTTGTGAAAGGCGACAAAACAGGGATGCTGAAATGCGAGGGGAAGTGGAAGGTGAATCGCGCTTTAGGTTGCGCTGCAGGTTGCCGGTATGTCAGGAGGTAGACAATAGCGCATGCCATGGAAAGAACAGTAATAACGAGTGCCACCTGGTATGCACCTACATCAGGAAAAGGACCAGAAAAGTATAATCAGAATATGTACCACCACGCGTTCCAACTTCTGCTGCCGTGCGTCGTTCCGTGCATGAAGAGCGGCGATGTCCCGCTTTCATGAACGATTCATCGTCAATCGAAGAGCACAGGGATACATTGACTCTCACCGTCCGTTTCATATCTTCAGACCATGTCATAGCCTTCATATCCCGCTGATGAGCGGCCTGCGCGGTGAGCAGTGTCTCTGCGGTGAGCGCGCGCGCTGCCCAATATTGCTCTGCCGTTGACCGGGGTTGAACAGCTGCGGAGCTCCAGGGTATAGCAGCTGTCGTGTCCGCTGAACTTCTCCCGCTCGGTAGTTTCGTCAGAGCGACGCTCAAGGTCTGGGATACCGTAGTCCTTGCTAATTGGCTCTGGGTGCCGGAGGGATTACCGAGAGGCCGAGGGGGCAATTGATCGACTGGAGTGTTGGCACTAGCAGGCGATTTTCTTGGTTTGCGGAGCATCACATCTCCAAGACCTCTCAACACTTTGCCTCGCTGGCAGCAATGCTAGCACGACCTAAGGAGCCGGACGCGGGGGACAGTCAGTGAGCGCTAACAGAGACCAACGGTGGCAGTGATCACGATCGGAATAATTGCCTTTTGCTGCCTCCATGACCGTCTATCCTCACACGAAGCTTTTCATCGAGGGAAGCAGAACGATCCTCATCAGTGGACCTCATATCCAGGTTCTCGACCCCAAGTGAGGTCCTCAATCTCTGGGCTCAACGCCAGGAGCTCAGCTTGATTCCTCTTAGAACCGGAGATATCATCTCCTCTACGGCCACGCTTAATGGTGCAGACAAGGACGCTTTGCTCAAATCAGGTCCTATAAGATGTGCAGCGGTAGACGAGAACTGCAAGTACATCGCGACCTCAGGCGACGATAAGGTGCTCAAGGTCTGGGAGGTGGAGGGGCTCAAGTTGCTGTCCCGCCGGTATGTATCCTCTGTTTCGCCATTGATGGTGTACAAACGTCTTGTTATAGTGAGGCGCCGAAAAAGCCCACGGATATCAAATTTACGCGCGACGCGCAAAAGATCGTCGTTGCAGACAAGTTCGGTGACATATTCAGGTGAGCGCGGGATGTATGCGTTGAATGCATTGAAGGCCTCATGCGCCGTGACCAACAGCTATCCCCTGCACCAGGATGCGTCGGAACCGGCGTCTGCACCAAAGAAAGACAGAGCGCTCGCTTCCCATGACAATCCGGCCGGCGGCCACCTCGTCCTCGGGCATACTTCGATGCTCACGACGTTCGCGCTCACGTCAGACGAACGATTCATCATTAGCGCGGACCGCGACGAACATATACGCGTGAGCTGGTTTCCGCAAGGATACAACATCGAACGATACTGCCTCGGTCACGAAAAGTAGGTTCGCAGAGCATGTAGGTACTTCTGCCGTTGCCCTCTCTCTCCCTTCAAATTGCTCCCGTCTTACGCGTATTATAGGAGCTGATTCGTTTTCCCTGTCAGATATGTCTCTTCTATTCACATACCGAAGTTCGATGGGGCCATCCTCATATCCGGCGGAGGAGATCCTATGCTCAAAGTATGGGATTGGATGTTGGGCGCGCTACGATATGAAGTTGCCGTCGCAGACGTAGTGTATCCATACATCAAGGTGGCCGCACCGAAAGTCAAGTCGGGCTGGGACGAAGAAGGCGAAGGCAACAAGGGGAAGAGGGGGAAGAACAAGGGGAAGTCGGAGGAGACTGGTACCCCCGACCCTGCTACTGCGCCTACGGCAAACAATGATGTGGGATACGCGGAGGCGGACGCTGCTCAAACCCACACTGTCCTAGCCGTCCAGAAGATAGAAACGATAGAGGACGCAACCAGCGGGCGTCATGTCCTATTCAGTGTCACCGGGTACGTCTGCTGGACTCTTTGAATAGGAGGTTGGATTGCTCAGATAGCGCAGTGCCACCGCCGTTTTCTACTTCCCTTATGGAGGCGCGGTCGAACCTTCGCAAATTCAGGCGTTCGACTTCAATCGCCCGGTGCTCGACTTCGCACCCGTGCCTGGTTCCCCAGGACTGTTATTGGTACTTCTCGACCCGAACTTCAAGCAAGATCTCTCAGCATCGGCGGACCAGGGTGCGCCGCTTGTTCAAGCTCTTCGATGGGATGGCTCTGGAGTGCGTCGTACTTGCTTACATCGGTTTATGCGTGAATAACAACGTGCTGTCGAAGTTCACTGATGTTAACTCGGCCGACGCCTCGTTTTCAACGCTCCTCGCGTCAATGAATTCTCAATGCCGCATAGCGGGTACGTCGCCCCCATATAGATCAAGCAATATGTCGGCTGATGCATCGAACGCCAGCCGATGCGGAACAATCGCTCCGCTTGGATCTCTATTCACCTTTGCTCACTTTGCCCAAGAACGCCCAGGTCGAACACGATCCGATGGACCGCGAAGCCATCGAGTTCCCGGATCAGGCGGGCGCGGAGACGCCGACGAAGGGCAAGGCGGCGAAGTCTCTGAGCGCGAAAGAAATCGCACGGCTAACCCGCAAACAAAAGCTCGAGGAGCAGCTCAGGGCGCGCGCACAGGGATCGACGCAGGATGATGCCGAGCGCGATTTCAAGAAGCCTCGATCGGACGACGACAACGACCAGCGGGAGGAAAAGATGGATGTTTCATGAATCTGTGCCCCCCGATGCAGACACGTCCACCTGCAGCGTGGCCATGTTCGACGTTCATTGACTATGCATGATCGTCTGATACAAGCTCGGGTATCTACAGCATACTCTGCTTGATCATTATATGTTATTCCCGTTTCAACGATGCGTTGTCCGAGTTTTCGAGTCCATTCCCGCCTGCATGAGACTGCGCGGTTCGAATCTCGATGCTCCGCTCGAAAGACAAGAGGGACGCGTGACCGTCGGAGGACCGGCAGGCTCGCCGATCGACAATGAGCGTCCATTAGGGGGGCTCAGAGTTGGGATTCTGGCAAGGATTCAAGGGCGGATTCAAGAGTCGATTCTGGACGCCGATTCTGGGTGGATTGGTGAAGCGGCTCTGGAGTCGCTTCACTCGATTCGACCAGAGTCCGATTCAGCTTCGCTGCCTCGGAGTCCGAAACCACTGACGCGTCACGAGGTTTTCCAGGGTCTTCCACCCCCTCGTTCAGGCAATCCTCAACCTGTGTTTTACTCCTGTATATATATGTACTCACGCAGAGGCTGTCACCAGGACCCTCGACATACCATTGTATCAGCAGTTTATGGGCAGAAGTAGATTGCATTTGGTAGTTCCGCATAGCAACACTCCTGACGCCTATTTAAGCCAATAAATATTTCACTCTTCTGGCTGCAAATAAACCTCGGACATACATTGTCGGACTCGAGCTTAAAACAAGGAAACTCTGTCACTCACGTTATAACTCGACCTTCGCATTCAATTCCAGAGTTTTCGCCACCTCGGATGAGCTGCCGATATGCCGAGCCCGTCGTTAAACCTCAGATGGGCATGCCGCAGTGTCGGCAGGATATTCCGTCGTGCACAGAATCGGGCCAGAATCAGTGGTAGAAGCGGGAGGTTCAGAGTTGAAGGTGAGGAGAATCGGATTATGACCGTCGTAGCGACGGCAAAATCGACACAGAATCGACACAGAATCTGGGGCAGAATCGGCGCAGAATCGCCAACTCTGAACCCCCCTATTATTTCGCAACCGAGGCTCCCCATCTCTCTATCTGGCATTGGGGCTACTACAAGGAGGGCAAACTCTAAAGCTACGTAAAGCGTATGGTCCGCGTTCTTTCCCGTTCTGGAAACGGCGCTGCGGGACCCATAGTGAAAGGTTACTCAAGCAACGAAATTTGCGACGAGTATCTCGGGGAGGTCGAGAAGGTGCTGCGTAAACTGGAGGAAACCCGGATCATCCACTACAAGTCGCCTCTCCTACTCGCCATCGACGATTGCGATACTCTGGCGCATACAACAAAGACGAACCCTGCGTCTATACTCGATACGCTTTGCCATCTTCTTGAGTGCATCAAGGACCGATGGTTCATGGCCGTCTTCGTGACGAGCAATTTCGGTGTCCGAGTTCGCCAGGCTGACTGAACCATGCGGATAGGCAATTCTGCCAGGCTCTTTGTGAACCCGCCTGGAAAGCTTGTGGATGTGGGAGGCCTGGCGCCTTACACCGAATTCAGCTTTGACGACAATGGCGGAGAGCCGATCGTTGGCGAAGATTCGATCACCTTGCACACTGCTTGTAGTCTGGAATTCATGTGTCGTTTCGGCAGGGCACTGTGAGATGCGTTTTTTCCAGATCGCCCGTGGATGTCACTGAAGCCAAGTTCTCCAGATGGTGGTCGCTACTCAAGGCGACCGTAGATCCGGAAAGCATCCTGGCTTTCGCCCGGTTCAAGCTAGCCAAGGGTCAGGGGAAACAGGAAACATCGAGAGCTTCGACGCTCGCCGTCTACTGTGCGAGGTTGGGACTGAGATACGAGGCGTACGATGTGACGCAGGCGGAACAAGAAAAAGGCATGCAGGAGGAGATCGAGCAGGTTGAGTCCCACATGCGTGTCATCTTCGCGGCCCCCTCTCATCGGGAGTACTTCTACGCCGGAATGCCATCGGAACCCATACTCGCCGAAGCGGCCACTCGAATCATGGATAGCCATCCGGAGCTGCGTAACCCCGTCCCATTCCTCGTCACGAAACTACATGCTATGGTTGACAAAGGTTCGCGTGGTGAGTTGGCCACTCGCGTGCTTCTCATACGAGCGCGAGATGCCGCTGCGAACGGCCGCACTGGGCCTATCCTTCTGTTGGACTTTTTCAAAGCTCTCTTGGCCGATGAATGGCATACGGTTCTTGGCGAGCGCTCTCCGAGAGGCAAGACCGCGCCCGGTCCAAGCATGGAGGAAGCTTTCAAGCGCTCCCATATCCATTTCACCCACTTCGCCCAAGCGAAGGATGTGAGCGTGTACTCGACAAGGAACATCTGGGCGGGATTGGCGCGGGGATGCGCCTACGAATGCAAAGACAGCTCACCCTGGTTCGACTTCGCAATACCTTTTGTGATCGACATCGAGAAGCCCTTGAGCAGAGACAACGTATCTGTCGTGTTCTTCAATATCAAAGACAAAGGACGACTCCAGAGGCTCGTTCTTCCGCTTGAAGCCGACGAATCATATTCGGGAGAAAGGGCCCTAGAAAAGTTTGGATTTTTGTCGATATGCATCTGAAAGTACAACATCCTGCATCCGAGGATCAAAAGGCTTCTGTCCCCGGTAGTGCTGGCACTCCACGCGACGATCAGAGCCGTCCGGAAAGTTCACGTGGAGCTTATTCTGACCATGTTATGCCGGCTGTAAGTAGGGAACCGTCAGACTCCGAAAACCTGCAGCAAGTTCCTGGGCGGTACGACCTCACGATCATCGGCTCTTCGCCTGTGATATTCAAAGTTATTGACAAGTCGGACTGGGAGGACAACCGCTGGGCACAACTAGTGGAGGAGAAGACCATGATCAGCGAACACCCCCAGAAAGATGGCGCGGGCGAGTATTATGCGGACCGCGATGCGTGGATCAAAGCCCTGCGAATGTATGAGCCATGTTTCGACGGCGACGACGATAGGTACGCATCGGCCAACGATAAGGAGGGCAAGAATCCACCTGTAGAGGATTCGGTGACGGAGAGTGTGGCAATCAGCTTCACTGAGGCATAGCAATTCGCCATTGATCAGCACCCTGTAGGCGAGTGTGAATTCGTATTGTACGTGGAGATTGTGCGGTATGCGCACTGTACACGACGTGTATACATATCCCACTTGCATCACGTACGAGAACAAGTGCGATTGCGGGGATTGTAGGCGGGATTGAAAAGGGTTTGACGCGAACATACACAGGCATGCTCTCTTTCCGCCACGAAGTTCGACGTTCCAGGCTTCAATTCTTCGCTGGCCAATACAGCAATACCAGCGAGCTCAAGTCGCGACAAGAAAGATGTGGCGAACAAAGACGGCTTACTTCGCTTCGGCCGCGACACCGACCTTCGACTTCATCGCTGGCGCATATAACCCTTCGCTCACACGTATCTTATCTTACTCATGATGTCATAACACACGAACCGACTGAGGCTTATCAGGTATTCGCCCGCTCGACAATCACCGGCCGTCCTGCGACTCACAGCATGGACCCCACGCACAGAGACATCTGCATCGTCGGAGGAGGCATCATCGGCGTCTGCACGGCCTACTTCATCGTGAACGACCCGGCCCACGACCCCACGCGGACGACAGTCACTCTCATCGAGGAACATGAGATCGCCGGCGCGGCCTCGGGCAAAGCGGGAGGGTTTCTCGCGTTGGATTGGCACGGGCCCGCGACGCAGTCGCTCGCGGCGCTGAGCTACCGGCTTCACCGCGAGCTGGCGGCGGAGTTCGACGGCGAGTCTGCGTGGGGGTATCGTGCAATGGACAGCGTATCTATTAGTGTCACGGCAAAGGCCAAAGGGGACATATTGGGGACGAAGGAACCAGAACCCAACACGGCGGTGGTGATATCTGCGTTGAGGGAGCTACCGGGACCTAGGGAGGGCGTGGTAGATATGCGTTGGCTGAATCCGGAGGCTCGGAGGAATGTCTGCGGAACGAAGGAAACCACGGCGCAGGTGTAAGTTACTCCTTCGTGTTGATGAGATATGTGTGGTAATTGTGACTGTCTTATATCGCAGGCACCCGCGGTTGTTCACGAAGGCATTGTTTTCCCGTGCTGAACAGAAGGGCATGCGGTTTATTCACGGGCACCCAGAGAGGCTTCATCGCAACTCCGACTCCCGGCCTACGTCCCTGGATGTCACAAGCGCCGGTTGCTCAACACCAACAACCATCCCGTGCAGCGACCTCGTCCTGACCGCCGGGCCTTGGAGCGCACAGGTTGCAGAGACGCTAGGTGTCACCCCGGTACCACACATCAACAACCTTCCCGGCCATTCCATCCTCATCCGACCTCGAATTCCGATCAGCCCGCTCGCCGTCTTCGCTGGTATACGCAATGCTAACACGGGTGCCTCCCGCAGCGCCAATGGCGGCGAGATCACGGAAAGCCCAGAGCTGTTCCCGCGTCCGGACGGAAGCGTGTACGTCGCGGGCGAAAACCACGCGCGGCAAATGCCGGCCAGTGCCAACGAGGTTGAGTGGCTGGTGGACGAGGAGATGATTCAGAGACTGGTCAGGGCAAGCGCACAGATTAGCGATGCTTTGGCCGAGGGCGACGTCGAAGTCAAGCAGGTACGGCGCGATACAGGATGCTCCCTCTGATTTCCCCATTTGACCTACTCTGGTTGCCAGCTCTGCTACCGGCCCAGGACTCCCGACGGGAGGCCCTCAATCGGGAAACTCAACGAGCATGTATGGATGGCAGCAGGTACCCTTTTTCTACCAAACCTCCTCAGTTCGTCAGCAAGACTGATATCGACTCCTAGGCCATGGTCCGTGGGGGATTACCCTTGGCCCCGGCACAGGCAAGGTGATGGCTGAGCTGCTGCTCTACGGGCAAGCACAAAGCGCTCGTATAGGCGAACTTGACCCCCTGCGGTCCTTCGCTCAAGACAGGAGGGCACGATGATCGTGGCTTCTCTACAACGAAGGAAGTTACTCATGCAGGACGTTATCCTGGAGAGACAGGATTTCCGCTTTCCAGGATGAAGGCTCGGGATGCCATGCTCTGCCTGAAGCCTACCACACGTGAGATTCTCCGAGGCAGAATGATTAGCTTGTAGCATTGGGGTTTCAGCAAAGGGCATCTAGAAGGTCAACATTTTCCACTTGCAATGTTTGGTAAGCATCATTTGTGGGTGAGAGTGGATGGCATTGCAACCATCCCGAAATCTCCTGACCACGGCGGTGTAAGCTCCGCTCGACCGAACGCGGCCCTGATGATCCTGCATATACGTCTACGCCACGTAGAATGTGAGTGGAGGGTAGCGCAGGGTGCAGGGCTGGCTTACTTGCGAGGGACTTGCGGGTCGGCCAGGCATTCCTCTGCCATTCTTTTGGGATATGCCCACATCCGCCACAGCAGCTGAATTTACGCCTTGACGTGACCTCAGTCTCGCGACACGTGCCCAAAGTATCTCGGGTTCTACTCGTACTGAAGTACAGTCCCAGCAAATTGAACTAGGAGGGGCACTACAACAGGTTCCCCGCACAATTCCGGGATGCTCGCATGATAGTGGTTTTCGTCCTCGGGCGCTCCGGGAACTGAATGTAACAGAGCAGCTCCCGCCATCTTGTAGGTGCGCGCGACCATCTTGCGTATGGTCACGCCTGCGTACACCTCGGGGCGAGCAGATCGACCGGTGTGGTAGCAGCGTGAATGTCAGGAGGCGAGACAACTGGACGAGAAACGTTGTCGCAGCGGAATCGACCGGAGAAGCGCCAGATTATGTGACGGAGGCCATCCCAAACCTTTTCTGTATTGCCTATATCCATGTCGTGCTGTAGATCGCTGATATCCACGTCCTCAGTAATTCGGATGGACTCTACTAGAAGGAAAAGCCACCATGGTCGAGGACGGAAGCGTGAGAATTGGTACGCCAGTGTTCCCGGACACGGTGCCGCGGTCACGACCGCGCCTAATAGTAACATTGGTCAAACGCGACCTAAGTACTGTTCCTGGCTCAGTCATCCCAGGCCGGGCAAACGCGTACATCCTCCTGGGATCGCCGAAGACGAATAATAGAGCGATGGAGCAATCTTGCCAACACGCAGTCTCCGTCCTCAACGTTCAATCATCGCGATGAGCTCTGTTCTAGGCTTCATCAAGCGCGTTAGGAATGTATGTGGTCACCAGACTGCTGCTCCGCCTTTTGTCGCATGCTAATGCACATTTCATTACGTATTTCAGATATCGTCTCCGCCCGAGATTCCAAAGGCTGAGAACCCAATCCGCTTTGGTATCCTCGACGCAGCAAAGATTGCCCCCGAAGCCCTGATCAAGTCAGCGAAGAGTCATTCCGATGTTGTTGTAGCTGCCGTTGCGGCACGCGATAAGACGAAGGCAGAGACGTTCGCGCAGAAATGGGGAATCAAGAAGGCATACAGTGGTCCTAACGGATACGACGGTCCGTATCACGATGCCCTGAACGAAAGGGGATGTTAACGGTGCATATGGACCTCCAGATCTCCTGGACGACCCAGAAATCGACGCCGTCTACAATCCGGTGAGTATCTATGATCTGTGCGTCTCAAGTTTAGCTTATGATGCATCCCTAGCTCCCGAACTCGTTACATTACGAATGGACCTTGAAAGCCTTATCTAAGGGAAAGCACGTTCTCTTAGAGAAGCCCAGCTCGGACACCGCCGAAGAAACCCGAAAGATGTTCGAGCTGGCGGAACAAAAGGGACTAGTCCTTCTGGAGGCGTTTCATTACAGGTATGGCTTAGGTGGGGTACGTCGCAACTGAACCTCACCCGTGCATCAGGTTTCACCCTGCCGTACAACGTGCCAAAACTCTTCTAGATAGCGGCGAACTTGGTGCCATTAAGAATCTGACTGGTTATCTCACCTTACCCGACATTGGAATGTTCCCGAAGGATGACATTCGGTGGGATCTTTCCCTTGGTGGCGGATGTATGATGGACATGGGCGGTTTGTGGACGCTGTTCTGACCGTGCCTTGGATTGACTCCTTTGTTCATTAAGGCTACCCCTTAAGCGCCGTCCGCTTCCTCGCAGGGACTGACCCCGTCTCGGTGCTCAGCGCAGAAGCAGACATCAGGCCTCCTGCAGCCGGCCTGGTGGACAAGGGCATGACTGCAACGTTCGCGTTCCCCAACGACGTCACCGCCTCAATAAAATGTCACTATGGCACGCCGTCCGCGCTGGGCTTCATCCCACGCCTTCCTGAACTCACCATCAAGGTGGAGTGCGAAGGGGGCGAGCTCACTTTGACCAATTTCATCGCGCCAATGGTGTGGCACTCCATCACCGTCAGCAAGCGTGAGGGACGGGGACGCGTTACCAGGACGGAGAAGGCATACACTCTCGAGGGTGGCAAGGGTGAGCCATGGTGGACGACGTATGTTTTGTTCCTTGCGTGTGTAATTCTTTTGGTTGTCTTGCTGACGTGTGCTTATACAGGTATCGATACCAACTTGAGGCATTTGCGGACACACTGAAGGGGCGCACTCCGCATTACTGGATGTCTGCGGAAGATTCGGTCGCCAATATGTACTGGATCGAACGTGTCTATGAGAAGGTACGGTCATTTCCACATGCGGTAGCCTCTTCGCGCTGACCACGTTCATAGACCGGGTTAAGGAGCCGACCGGCGTCGACTTTCGCACTATGATCATTTCCACTATGTACCGCCCGGACGTATCCTAAACTCCGAGCCTCGGAAGGCAGAATCTTGTGGGTCACACTCGTCCTGAGACGGCTGTGAGCGGGCGGTGTGCGACATCAAGAATGGCGACTGGAGACTTGCCTGGTATCCCTCCATATTGGTTAAAAGAGGCATATAAGGTACCACGTGTAACGCCAGTGCTCTGACAAGATATATGTGAAGTGGTGCAGTCTGTATCAGAAGTGCACAGGATTCGAGAAGATAGTGTTTTTGGTCATGGGCCATGCGCATAGAGTAGCGTGTGTGCAAACGTATATATGCGTAGCAACCCTCGTCTTCGTTGGGGCTGTAGCATTCAATACAGCGGCGATACTTACTAGCCAGTTACGCAACATTTAAGAGCAGAGCCTGGGTACACTAGGTACGGGAGTCCGAAACTATGGTCCATGGGAAACACGGGGTTAATGATGAGAGTTATGCGTGTAAATATGGGACTCCGTGCTGGACGGTGGGGTGCTGAACGGTAAATGTGACGTTATAAAAAGACAACGGTGGTCAGAGAGCTAGGTCGGGGGAAGTAACACGGCTAGAGGTGGGGGAGGGGAGCAGGCCAAGAAAAGGTCTTGATGACGGTGTAAAAAAACCCTTCCTAAACGCGAATGCTGATCCGTTCCCAAGCGCGATCCTCCAGCGACGGCGCCGTGCGATCGTCAGCTAGTACCCCCATGCCAACTTGAATAAGAGGTCAAGGAGCGTCCCTCACGTTATCGCGTACGGTCGAAGAATTCGAAGAAAACTGAGGCCGCGGATTTCAACGGTCCCCGATCGTGTTGTTTGAGCGTCAAGCCCTCACATAGGGCACTGGTCTCACGGCGTTTTAGAGTAGATGTTCGTCTCGCCTGGAGTTTCCGCGCGGTAATATACCGTCAATCATGATGTAATTGTTGTACAATGTTTTGTCAGGACACCTCTACGAATTCAATGCCACTACCATCGACTGCGCGCGCGCCTATTTGGCCGGGGTGAACGGGATGTTGTCGAGCTTGGAGACGAACGCGGCCGCGGCCTGGACGAGGGGGTCGGTCGGGTTGCTGGTACCGCCCGCGACGCAGTCGCTGAGGCCGAGCGCCTTGGCGACGCTGCAGTTGGGGACCGCGGTGCCGTGGCCGCACCCACCGGAGCCGTTGGTCTGCGCGACCGCAGGCCCGGCGCACTTGCCGGTGGAGAAGCCACAGCAGCCCTGCTGGCAATCCGAGTCGGCCGAGCACGTCTCGAACACCGTCTTCTTGCTGGACTGGTCCGCTGCAGGCGCGGCGGCTGCGGCCGGGGCGGCGGCGGCGTTATCGGAAGAAGAGGAGGAGGAGGAGGAGGAGCCGGAGGCGGGGGTGAAGGGGAGGCCGTCGAGCTTGGCGACGAATGCAGCGGCGGTCTGAACAGCGGGGTCCGCGAGGTTGCCGTTCACGGCGCCGGCGATGCAGTCCTTGAGGCCGAGCGCGGCGGCGACGTTGCAGTTGGGGGCAGCGGTGCCGTGGCCGCATCCGCCGGAGCCGTTGCTCTGCGCCACCGCAGGGCCGGCGCATTTGCCCGTGGAGAAACCGCAGCACCCCTGCTGGCAGTCTGAGTCGACGGAGCAAGGACCGGTGACGAACTGGTTGCCCCGGCGCGCAAGGGAGTAGCGCGAGGGAAGCTCATGACGAGCCTGGACGCCAAGGGCGACTGTGGTAAAAAGAGAAAGATTAGAATACGACACACGGAGATGTGTCCGTAATACACACCAAGGGAGAGGGCGACAAAAGTGGAGGTGAACTTCATGATTGGTGTTCGTTAATAAGAGGAGGGCGCGAAGAAGAGCAATTAAAACTGCGCAAGAAGGAACGTGGATTGCAGGAGTAGATGAGATCGACCAGTCGACTGAGGAACAGCGGAGTGTATTGAAGGTTTATATACCTCGCAGTGTTGGCCAGTCCGGTCATCATAATCAACAGTGTTTCACCGAGTCGCGCTTCGTTTCCATGCCACATGCTTTTGACAACGCGCTCGAGAGACGAATCGCGATCCAGCAGTTCCAGAAGCACAGCGTTCTGCCTTGATCGGAGGTTTGATGCCGCCTCCCGTAGGCCGCACCGGACCCTAACTAAGCAAGTCTGTTCGCGCTGGTGAAGAGCCTTGATTGGTCGGAGACGCAGACATCGAGCAATTTGAGTCAGGTGAAAGAGGACGAAACCTTGATGCGCGGCATTGGGCATTGCCTGTCGTGCCAGCCACAGCGACAGGAGGACCGATCCGAAGAGAAACACGTTGGACGACAGTAATAGGCAACGCCCGCTGCAACCGGTGGTCAGCGCTTCAGCGTTCGCCGAGCTCGATCCGGCTGACCCGCGAAAGCACAGCATTTTGAGCTGAGTACTGATTGATCGGACGCATCACAACGTTGCTTCCTTCCGGCGATGAATCAGACGACAGGAAAAGTGCAATTCTGCAGGCTGGTACGGGGCCGTTGCTGTGTGCAGACGAAGGGGGGTCGGCCGTCCTCCTGCTGTGCCGTTCAGGCATAGGGACGCGTCTTCGAACCTTAACGCGATCTGGATCCTGGGGGCGAGCCATGCTCGATAGCATCCTGCACGGTTGGGTCGAGGTTGCATACTTACACCACGGATGACCTCCTTGAATGTATATATCCATTGGAACGGTATTAATTGCCGATGAACGTTGAAACATTGATGTTGATCGTGAATTGCTACGCTTGGCCGTATGTATTCCGAGTCTGTCCACGTACCATTGTGAACACTGTCATATTCTTGGTCGACTTTCATCCCAGTCCGCGAGGTGGTATACCAAGGTGAACAAGGCGTTGATGGCTCCGTTAGCCTTGCAACCGTTAATCGTCCGTTCCCTAGATTTGTTGCTCGAGTTATATGACGACAGGAAGACAGAACGAGTCGATAGTGAGCACTCGAGTGGTCACTTTCTACAGGATTTTGTACGCAGACCGCACTTCTGAGCATCAGGTCCTGGTCTTCAAGTTCAAGTTGTCCAGTAGCCTCTACGTGACGGGTCACAGGTGTCATGCGCCGCTGTCCCACGTTCCGTGACGGGACGCGTGTCTTTTAACTTGCGCGACGATTGCACCGCAGGCGTTCTAGTCGATGTCGATGAGAAAGCGCTCGATACTTGCTTTGGAGACGGCGGCATGCGCAGCGGCTTGACAGAATATATCGACGCACTTCACGAGACAATACACCGCCGCAGCCCGCATGCGAATCCAGGCGCCAATAATGACCATCCAGTGCTGCGGCCTGAGATAGATGTTCCCCAACATACGATGTGTTCCCTCGCCTTCTCACTGAACGCATCTCATGGGCTGTTCCGAAACTGCGAATTGCGAACCCTTCTCATGAGGGTGCTTGTAAAGTTCATGAGAACATCATGCCGCTGTCCGTACCCCTTCTCCCGCTCATGCTGTGAACTCACGAACTTTGCATCTCCGTTCGCGTGTTGGCCTTCACAACGACCAGTAGCTCAGCTGCCTAACACGGCGACGTCTCAGTATCTTGATTCCATACAAGATCCTCATCGGCCGCGGAATGATACAAATGTGAAGTTAACTTCACAATCGAAATACCCCACCAAGGTCGGGCTATACATAGTCGGCGGCATGTGCTCCTCTCAATTGCTTCTGTCTGCACAAAAATAACGCTCTGAGCGCGCCCATGGCAGTACGGTTGTCCACGAACACCCCCAGACAGTTATAGTAGCTCGTCATAAAACACGAACCTCCCCATCGTTAGATACCTGCACGACGGTGACCTGTGTTGCAAGGGTCATGCCCCTGTCATACACCTCCCAGCGCTTCGTGTTCTGGTCCTTTAGCCTCTTCATTGGTGCAGTGGTTACATATGCATCGGGGTTGGTGTCGGCGCCGAAGCTTCGTGGGAGCCCATCCACGCCAACGACTTCCAGCGAGTTTGTCGCTCAGCCAGAGCGGAAATCAGAGGACGAGATCGACGACCTAACGAAGCCCTGTCTCTGTGAGTGGCCATGAACATCATTCACCCTGGCCGAGATCTCTGATCACTCGCTCTTGCAGCTTCGACGCTAGAGCATGCGCTATCCATGCACGCGGCATATGAAAAGATGGGCTCCATTGAAGACCTTGAACATGCCATAGTTATCTATCGGCAGTTGCTCCCTCAACGGAACGTGAGTAGCGAAATGGAGTTCTTAAAGCCAGTACTGAGCATTCTCTCAGGTGAGAGCGTTGTGTTCGCTATCGAGCGCCTTGCAGAGACGCTTCCACTTCTATGGGGAGGACGCTGATATTGACGACGCGATAGAACTGGCGCGCAAAGCCCGCGAGATCGCCGTAGCCGGATCAGAGGACCATCGAAACAGTCTCATGACGCTCGGAAACGCGTTGCGCGATCGATCAATGGAGAAGGGTTCCGACGCAGACCTTGATGAATCGCTGAGCCTTTGCAAGATGGCCGTCGACGGTTGTCCGCTCAATGACGCCTGCTTACCGGAATGGTTGAATAACCTTGGGCGCTGTTACCGGCTCACGTTCACGCGCCGGAATAGCTTGGACGGAATCGAGGAAGCGATTCGAGTGCACAGACGAGCAATAGGTCTAGGTTCCGTCGGTGACCTCGAATATCCGCGCTCAATGGCGTGTTGCGCCACGGCCCTGCGGCTGCGGTTCGAGAAGCAAAGTGGGATAGAGCATCTGGAGGAGGCCATTGCTTTGTATCGGGGCGCGCTGGAGCACTCGCATCCCGGAGATCCTGACAGAAGGTCTTTCTTGGCCGGATTAGGAGCAGCCCTAACACTTCTCTACAGGGCACGCGGATCTCCTAGCGACCTCGAGGATGCCATTCGGGCAAAGGAGCAGGCCCTGGAGATATCCCCTCGTCGCCATGTCTCTCGGCCAGACGCGCTCAGCGCGCTGGCCAATTCTTTGCGGGATCGCTTTGAGGAGCTCGGAGATAAGGAGGATCTCAACAGGTCTATCTCGCTGGTGTCGGAAGCACTCTCCATTCGGCCTCCAGGACATCCGCATCGTTCAACGGCCGTCAATATCCTTGCAACGAGTTATAGTATGCGATTCGAAGATCAAGGTGAAATGGTCGATCTCGAGCAAGCCATCAAGCTCTTCCATGAAGGTCTCGAACTTCGTCCCGCGCCTCACCCACAACGTTTTGCATCGTTGAGTAACTTAGCAGTCCCTCTGTACCTTCGCTACTCCGAACTCGGCCATACGGAAGATCTGGAGACCGCCATTGACTTGTATCGTCAAGTCCTCCCCCTGACCCCTGTCGGACATCCATTCCGCTCGCAAGCGTTAAGCCATTTAGCTGCGGCATTGTGCTCAAGGTTCGAAGAATCTGCCCGAGCTGTTGATTTAGAAGAGGCTGTCACCCTGCTTCGGGAAGCGATGTCGTTGGGCACTCCGGGAGACCTGTCGTGGTACTTCGTGGTGATGAATCTATCCAGTGCACTCCAAATTCGTCACCGGCATTTTCGTTCTGCAATTGATATCGATGAGGCAGTGGACCTCGTCGCGCAGACACTCTCCCGAAGCTCAGTTCCAAATCATTTTCTGCCACGTCTTCACGTCACCTTGGGTAGTGCCTATCGACAACGCTTCGCAGCTCGGAAGGTCACGTCTGACGCTCTCGAAGCGCTGCACCACTTGACTGAGGCTCAAGGAGCATATGACGCACGAAATCCCGAAAGAGTTAGCTGCCTCTCGGAACTGGCGCGACTCTATCTTGAAGGAGATACACCGTTCTTCAACCCAGGGCTTGCTTTACAGCATACGCTTCAAGCCATATTGGAAGGCAACTGCAGTGCGCAAGCCAGAATAGCAGTTGCTAGCGACGTTCTCCGCTCCATGAAAGCCGAACTTCCCGACGAGTTCCGGGACCTACTACTTCAGACGCAGCTTGCGATAGTCAATCTCCTCCCTCATGCAGCCTACTTCGGGCTCGGAGTGAAATCCCGTCTTTCGTCTCTGAAGAAAGGCGAGATGGTCGCAACGCAAGCTGCCACGAATGCCCTTACTCTTTCACGACTCCCTCTCGCGATCGAAGTCCTTGAACAAGGCCGCGGCATCTTCTGGACCCAGGCGCTACGCCTACGGACGCCGTTCGATGCGTTGGACCAGAGGCTGGGACGACCTTTGATTCAGCTCGCTCGTGAGCTCGAAGGTCGAAGCCATAGCTCCAACGTCAGAATTTCCCAATTCAAGGCAGACGAAGAGATGGCATATCGTCGTCAGCTCACGCTGAGGTTCAACTCGTTGGTCGACGAGATTCGCGAGAGACCGGGGATGGATGGCTTCCTTCGCCCTGACAAGTTCGAAACACTCGCCAAGGCCGCGGAAAAGGGACCAGTCGTGATACTGATTCCAGGCGGCGACTTTTGCAGCGCCATCGTCGTGCGTACTTCATACGAGCCAATGCAGGTCCTGCTAGCAGGTGTGACAGACACCTGGTTACACGAGGCATCCACGGCATGGAGAGACGCTATGGTGAACGCAAGAAATAGTCTTGCAACCGAACATCGGCTAGGGATTGCTAAAGTATCGCTGCGGAAACACGTCGTCCAAGGGCAGGATGCGATCCTCGGCAAACTGTGGGAGTTTGTCGTGTATCCGATCTTTCAAGCTCTAAGGCTCAAGGTCTGTTCCAGTCAATCACCTGGCATCTTTGCCTCATCCGCCTGTTGCTGACAACGCGTAACAGCCGTCTTCTGGACGCGAACGACCTCGCTTGTGGTGGTGCCCCACCGGATCGTTCGCTTTTCTTCCCCTGCACGCCGCCGGGAAAACCGACTCTCAGGGCGCTGTATCTTGTTCAGATTACATTGTCTCCTCGTACACTCCGACGCTAAGCGCTTTGCTGAATGCCCGTAGAACGTCCACGAGGCCTATTAGGAATGAGATGCGAGTGCTTGTCGGTGCTGCACCCATCACTGAATGGAACGAGGCCCTGACGGCGCTCCCGCATACGAGGGACGAAGTCCGAGAGGTAACAAAGATTATCCCTCACCACAGTGTCCTTGCCCTTCCTGCCGAAGAGGATGTATGCTCAGATGACGTGCCAGAGATGCAGCTAGGGATGAGAGCAGCGACCTTGACGGATCTCCTGCCCAAGACAACGGTGCTACATCTCGCCTGCCACGCTGTCCAGAACGCCGACAGCCCGCTCGATAGCGGTTTCGCACTGAGGGACGGGCAGCTCTCTATTGCCGAGATCATGAAGATGCACCTACCAAACGCGTTCCTAGCTTATCTCAGCGCATGCGAGACAGCAAAAGGAGACAACCAGCAGCCTGACCAAACTGTGCACCTGGCAGCTGCCATGCTGTTTGCTGGGTTCAAGAGCGTAGTGGCGACGCTTTGGTGAGCATAGGTTCAGCCAAAGCGAAGATTTTCTCTGACTACGTTGCACGCAGGAGCATGAACGACGTTGACGGACCTCATGTAGCTGGCACTGTTTACAGACAGTTTTTCGACGGAGATTCAGAGTACCTCGACCCGGACATTATCCCTTACGCGCTCGACACTGCCGCCCAGCAACTCAGGCGAGCGGGCCATCCTCCAAGCCGTTGGGCACCGTTCATCCACATAGGGATATGACTCTGTTGTACGGGGGTGGTTGACGCCAATGCGCTCGCACAACACCCAGTCATAGCCAGTTTGGAACTATGCGACGAGAAGGTCTCGTACCCTGTAATCGAAGTCGAATCGGTATCTTTGGCACACTCTTGTATGGTCCACATCATCATGCATGCCATAGCGTAGTGTCATATTCGCAGTATATGCCCATGCGTGATAAGAGTGCAATGCGAGAGAGTACAATAATCAAATGTTGGAAGGGTAAAGCATCTAGAGTCAGGGCAGGTCAGTAACGACGAAGAAGGCATAGAGGGCGATAGGAAGCTTACGATGCGGACACTGGCACCGAACGCGTGCGGGGGGAGGTTTGACCTGAACTTGGACTTGACGACGCCCGAGTTCCCGTGTGGGCGAGAGATGCGCCCCCAGATGACTCGCACCTTTGAGCCCGCCCGTTCCGTCTTCGCACGGTAGACGTACGCAACGCGCTGTGTAAACAGATAACGGTCAGCCAACGGATCTTGCCTATGCTGATTCAGGGGAACGCACCTTCCCGAGGTAGAACTGCGCGTCCTCCTTGCTGCCAACACCCTCAATCTGCAGAAGGGACGTGTTCGGCCTGGTGTTGCGCTTGCCGCGCTTGTGGCCGAGGACGCGGCCCTTGGTGTACAGACTATAGTGCAGATATGCGTATCAGTACTAGTCCCATGGATTTTTACGGCAGAGAAGAGCGATGTGATTTGCAACCGCGATCGATGCGACGGAAGTGCAAGGGATGCACAAGAGATGAAATAGCAGAAGCTGGCGCAGAGGGCGGTATGTCGAGTCGGTTAGGCGAGCGTCATCCAGTCCTCCATCGGTCCATCCATCCCGTCCTACTCGTTTCGACGCCGTTTCGTCGCAGAGAGCCGCTTGTACATCATCCAGGCACCACGCAGACGAGATGCTCACCGTGTAGAGCCCATTTTTGTTACCTTCTAGTCGGACGGACGGTCTTGCGGCCGGGTTGCGGGGAGGGGAGGTGGATGAGTCACGTGAGTGGAAAGATGGAGTTAGCGCTGGCAGCTTTTGGCTTTTCGCCCCTTCGCTCGTCATTTTCTGAAGCTTTTCTGGCGGGTGTTGGTGCTCGCTGCTCTACATATTTCTGTTGGTACTTCGAGATTTGAAAGCGTTGAGCTATGGGACGTCTGCGCCGCTCTAGGACTCACGGTGGGAATCGTGATGTGCATCGTGCCGGACGGACGAGGGTGCGCCTCTGCTTCAGCCATGATCACGGCTCGCTCGAAATGCCAACCGCTGTTTCTTGCATAGGCTCGCACGAAGGATCTTGATCAGATTCAGTTGATTGATCTGGACCCGAAGGTGAGTAGGAGTGCGTTCGCTGTGATACAACTATATTTACAGTATGCTTCAAGCACCGTGCTGCTTTGGAGGCCCAGCCCATTGACTTTGATAAACCTGGCCTTGCTCAACACTACTGCGTCGAATGTGCTAAGTACGTCCTGCATACGAGATCTCAGGTCAAAATCCTGTTCAGGCCTGACACACATGTTCTACAGATACTTCGAAACCGATAATGCTCTTCAGTCACACTGGAAGAGCAAGGTGCACAAGCGGAGGTGCAAGCAGCTGAAGGAGCCCGCATACACGATTGAAGAAGCGGAACGAGCTGCTGGGCTAGGTGTGGACAACGGAAGGAGGGCGACAAAGCAGATATCGGCCGCTGAGATGCAAGACTTGTGATGATCGTCCAGAAGCTGTCATCTCCGCAACCTCAGAAGTCTCGCTATGCATCGAGTACGCTGTTGTTCTCCGGCCTTCATGGGTGTTGAGATTAAAACATTTCTCCCAGGCGCTGCGCCAACAGGACGAGCAGCCCGCTCAGGTTACATACCTACAGTACCAAGGGCTGGTCTGGCCCGTCAAGAAGATGGATCGGCCCCGTGGCCTTGACGTGATCAGCGTGGCGTCATGTTATCGAGGGTTGCTCATGCCATTGACCTGTGGGTATGGCTGTTCCTAGTCGATGGCGTGAAGAATATATACATGCAGAATACAGGATATCATCCAGCAACGAACGCTCTACAAGGAAAGGACGAAAGTACGAGCAAGCCTGTGCGCAGTGCCCTCGTTAGAGGGTGAATCGATGTTACAGCAATCTCCTAACCTCTTAAGCCTCGCCACGTTCATGCCGTTTCAGGCAGCGCTTCGCGGATCGTTGTCTCCGTTATGCCATCCGCAATCCATCCCTTGGCGCGAAGTGGCTCGAGGGCGTCGAGACACCAGCTTTGACAGTTCCACTTCACATTCTTGTCCAAAACGACCGGTATCTGCTCGAGGATGCGCTCCAGCTCGTCGAGCGCGTCCGCGGGAACGGCACCAATGGTCACCTTCCCGCCTTCAGTCTCGAAGAGTATCATCTTCTCCGCGCCTTCGTACCAAAAGTTGCCGGGCTCGCCGTAGAGCTGATGGAAGACGCCACGGATATCGCCTGTCGCGAGGTGGAATTGCCAGTGGTAGGGGCGGATCTCGTCATTCTGCGTACCGCGTTTGTATGCGACGATGGATAAGGGGTAGGTCGCGGTCATGGTGCCTGACACTTGCTCGATGACCTTCATATATATTCGAATGTCTGGGAATATGGACCCATAAACCACATACATGCGCCCACCACACGAAGCAAGCGCGATCGTGAGGCTATCGTCTGCTATCATATTCGCACTTGTCCGCGCGAGAGACATACGCGTATGGCATGACGGACCCTCCGACCGCTGCACAAGTACATCATGATACAGATAGATCTTCTATAGCTGAAACACTAACTACACGATTAGCAGCTGTGCTGGTGACATGCCCAGTACGCGATACCGTATAATCCGGACAACAATATAACCTCGGATTCGCGGAAAGCGACGTCCCACGTCTGTGATGCCATGCCCGCTGAGGAGCCCGAGTGTATCGGCGGCAGCGTCGGGGGCGACCACAATGGAGAGGGTGACGGGAAGCACGCATGTCCAGAGAGTAGGGGGGGATCTGGCATTCCCCCTCTGTGATACGAACGGTTTCGACGGGCGACGCGCTTTGTCCACTCCCGTGCTCCTGCTCTCCTTTCCTACCTTTCTTCTTCCACCACGATGGAAGAAAACTGAATGTTTCTCTTGTCTAGGAGGTACCAAACCTTGAATGTAGATATTCAATGCCCAATATGCGGGCATTTGCATCAGGATTCGAAAGGCCGTGCATCTATCGGAGCACAAAGGTTCAGAAGTTCGAATCCTGGTCAAGTGGGCGAGACCAGCTGCAGGGATAGAGCCTCGTAGCGCAAGGATTGGTGTCCTCAGGGTAGGCTGGTGGATTCCACGTATCCTTCCACGCCCTGTTGGGAAGTCGTTGCGTTTGACGGACAGTGTGCTTGAACATCCACGACCCAGTCAATGCACGTAAACGGGTCAACGGGGCTCTTTGGGGACGGTCAAATTCAGATAGTAGACGGAAGAGTCTCGCCCATCTATCGAGGATTGTGCGTGTTCCCTGAAGTTGTCGTAGAAGAAACCGGCGCGAGCATTGTGTTCGTCCAATATGTGATAAGATGAGCCTCCAATGAGCTGTAACAGGATCCGGCAAGCCCACTCGCATTTATTTGACAGTTGACGCCATGGTAAGTAGCGGAGCTAGGCTGCAAGTCAACGATGGCACAGCTGGTGCGCTGCAGGCTGCAGCGACACAAGAGGCACGGTGAGGCTGTGCTTCCACTCCCTCCTTGTCGACGTCGTCGGGCCCGTTCACGTTCACCTCGACCATGCTTGGTGTTGGGTTGAGAACAATAACAATCGTCTCCGGCAACACCGCGGAGGAAATCAACTGATTCAACCATTCCCTTCACATCCTTTGGCCTTCATTGAGTGACAGGATCTTGATTAGATGCCGGAGCTTGGTCCTTTGGGCGCGTATCAACGATCTATCACGGACACCGTCCTTATTTTTCCAGCTGCTCCTTCCTGTTACAGTTTCATCCACGCATTCCTTGGGAAAATCCGGACAATTGCGTACAACGTGCCGTGGAGAGAGGCACCCTCGAACTTTGCGCGCGCGCTCAAGCGCGGCTCTCAACGGCGCAACGGACCGGCTACGGACCATATCGATGTGGGCTGTCTTTACCAATAACGGATTGCCATGCACAAAGACATTGATTATTCACAGACGGATGCCCGGCGACTTGCTCGCTACTCGCTATCGGTCTGCTCTGGAGGCGTACCAGCTCGCTGCTGCCTGTACACCTCGGACACCACTTCTTCAGAACAATGCGCGCTCAACTCCCTCAAGACGCATAGATTCCAACTCCTTTTGTGTGTTATTTCGGAGACTTCCTCTCTTCAGTAGGGCAGGAACGTGGCATGGCCGGGGGGAAGAGATTAGACCGGACCATGTGTGCCCGTGTGTGGTAAGCAAGTGCCGAAGCTGCCGAGCCAAAGGCTACCGCAGGAGGGATGTGACATCCCGGAGGCTTCGCCTGAGGCCCGCTCCAAGGTGAACATAGCGAAGGGTAACTGTCCCAAGCCTCAGCACCCGCTCGTCGTGTCGGTCATCCAGCGATGGTTGAAAAGGCGGGCCTCTGGCGGTCCCGGATGAAGCACGGACGAGCTTTCTGTGTGCCCTGCTTTCTCGACGGCGACCTCCCGCCTTTATCTGAGCGTTTAGCGACGACTTCATACTACCCGAGACATATCGGACTTTGCCGCGATGTCTGGCATCCCCGCAATGAGGTACTCTCGCCGTTTAACCGGGCAAGATCCCAACGGTAAGCCTTCGCCTTTGTTACTACTTTACCATATACATTCGTCTCAGTTTCCCTCACCCACTTCTTCTCACACGTTATATGCATTCGGTCCTGACCTTCCCTTGCAGATGATAGCGGACGGAGTGCTGGAGCCAGAGGCTCATATCAAGTTACGAACACTCGTACGCTTCCCGCGGGGAAAGCAATCCGCGCGAATGGCCTTACGCCCTCGAGCTCGCGTGATTCGCAGACGAGCCCGGCCAAGAGCATTACGCCAGAGGTTCTTGTTCCGAAGACGAAATCAAGCTTATCCCACGCGCGCAAGCGCGAAGAGAACCACGTCAAGCGTCCGCCGAACTCGTTCATCTTCTTCCGCTCGCACTTCATCGCGTCGCGGAAGTTGTCGACGGGGGACGAACGCGACAGCAGGAATGTCTCGTGAGTCTCGCAACATTGTATGCCACAGCGTCTGTGAGAGAAGCTGATTAGGGACTACTCGTACCATAGCATGATCGCGGGCGCATACTGGAATGGCATGTCAGACGAGGAGAAGGCGCCGTTCGAGCGACTCGCCGAGATTGCCAAGGAGGAGCACGCGCGTCTCTACCCAAATTACAAGTACGCACCCGCGGCGCCGGGGCAGAAGAAGCGCAAAGGGAGTCGCACGAGCAAAGCGGAGCGGGAGCGTTGCAAGCTCATCGCCTCGCTCATGGAGAGCGGCCTGCAGGGATCAGAGCTCGACCGGGCCGTGCGTGAGTACGAGGAGCTTGACATCGAGGAGTCGGCGTCGCCCTCGCCCAGGGCCTCGAGCTCTTCATCGCTTGCGTTCAGCACGCTTGAGCCGATAGGAACCTCCGATCTATCCTCCGACGGTTCCCCGGATTGGACACTTGGCATGTTTAATTCGTCCGGTCAAATGGTGAGAGCTTCCTCCTTCAGTCACCATGTAGTGGGTCTCTCACGATTCTTACAGAACGGGTATGAACCACGCACCGTCGGGAGCATCTCGATGGATATGCAATGTGATCCTTCGACGTGGCTCATGCAGCGTCCCTTCCCCCATGCTCAGGCTGCGCAAGTCCCGCGCATGACGGGCACGAATCCATCAGACGCGGGCTTTGGACAAGTCGCCTCTCCGCCGTTGCCGTGGTCTGCCACCGGATACATTTCCCCACGTTTGCTCTTTGACAACCTCGACGCACCGTCTGGCATCTTCGACGAAGCCTATTTGAACTCGATCGCGGAAAACATACCGTTCCTGGACGATCTGTCGATCTTCGACGCCACTGCGGACGACTTTCATAACGATATCGCTATGTTCCAGTCGGCAATAAACCATCGCTCCGCGTAACACATGGATACATGGCCATTATGAACTTTAGCCAGGGACACCGCCGATTTATGACATAACATGCAGTATCTTGTACGCCACTACCCTATTCGCATTAGCAAACGGAACTTTGTATCACCGCCATGTGTACTCTACATAACATGGATACCTTTTGTACCTATATTTGTTGTGATGAACGAATGCACGGTCCCAGGCCGTGACTACACATAGATGGATGATTGTCGCGTCGGCCCGTCTCCGCGTTGCGCCCTCGTACGGCCTCTGAACGCGTACGCCGCCGTGATGGTGGCCGCTCTGTCCTCGATATCCTCTTGTCCTTCTCCACTTCGGCGTCCACGAGGACCGTGACGAGCGTTTGCCGCACGGTACCGACCGCCGCGCCGCCCGCATCGTGGCCGACGTCATAGCGCCTCCTAGCGCACGATGACTTCACAAGAGCCAGAGCCCGTCCACCAACACTCCCACTTGTCTCTCCCCCCGCTCCTCGTCGAGCACCGCTACGCTTTGCTCTCCGCGCTCATCGCCGGCGCCGTCTACCAAGCCTTCGTCGAATTCCGTCGTCGCCTGCTTACCCGTCGTCAACCGCCGCGTCTCCCCATGGCCCCTCACGTGGATCTCGCCCTGGTCTTCCGGGGCTCGACCAACAGCCTCCTCAAAGGCGAACTGAGAGAAGACAGCCAACAAGCCGAACAGCAGTACACGCGACTGCTGCAGACCTTGAAAGGTGCCGGCCTGTATGCGACCGGCCGAAGAGGCGAGAAGCAGGGGCAGCTGCTCGTCCTCATATCGTGCCCACAGAGCACGTTATCGACCTTAGTTCAGAGAGAAAGGTCCGCCCGGCAAATATGATCGAAAACCAAGCGCATTTGCTGACCATACGTGCAGATACTCCGACTTCCTTCATGGCCTATCCACTAGCAACCTCTCCTCGGTGGCGGACCAATCCGCCGCCGAGAAACTCTCCTCTGCGGACCGAATCCGCATCATACATTCTTATGTGACATCAATGCCGCAAGACGGAGGCCTGGGCATCATCCCTGGCTCTAAAGAGTGGTCCCGTGTGGAGAGCATAATGGCCCTTCACGACCACGACTTCAACCACGCCTGGATTCGCCAATGGTCCTCACACCAAGTTGGCGACGCCCAACTTGACCGAATCCGTGAACAAGTGCGCATTTACACCCACATTCCTTTGGACCGCGTTTGGCTGATGATGTCCCCGTAGTTCGGCGAAGCCGTCGCGCTTTACTTCTCCTTCCTCCACACCTATACCCACTTCCTCATCTTTCCCGCCGCTATCGGCGTCCTCTTCTACTTCCTCGGCGCACCCTACTCGCTTGCATACTCGATCTTGCTTGTTGTCTGGTCCACCGCCTTCGTGGAGTACTGGCGCGTCCGCGAGCGACGCCTCTCTGTCCGCTGGTCCACTCGTGGCTCTTTCAACGTCGAGAAACGCAGGGCGGATTATCAGCCCAACTTCCCCTGGTGGAAACGCGATCTGCGCGCGGTAGCGAGCGTGCCGGTCATCTTGCTGTTCGCGGGCGTCCTCGCGTCGCTGCTCACGGGCATCTTCGTCTTCGAAGCATTCGTGACCCAAATTTACACTGGGCCAGGCCATCAATATATCGTAAGCACTTCCACTCCGTGAAGCAGCCCCGTATATTCAACGCGTAACAGTCGTTAGCGCCGACCGTCCTCTTCGTCGCGCTCGTTCCGCGCGTCCTTGGGCTCTACCACGCTCTCGCCGCTCGCTTCACGCAATGGGAGAACCACGCACACCAGTCCACACACCAAGCTTCACTTACGCTCAAGACCTTCTCGCTCTCGGCCATCGTCGCGTACCTCGGCCTCGCGCTCAGCGCCTTCGTCTACGTCCCCTTTGGCGGCGAGGTCATGGGCCACGTCCACACCTACCTCTTCCACAAGGCGCACGAGCCTGCAAGCTCGGCGACGCACGCCGCCGCGTCGGCGTACGCGAGCGTCGCGCAGGGCGAGCCCCAGAACGTCGCGTTCAACACAACGCGGAGTGCGAAGGACGCGCTCGATCATGGCTTGTGGGAGGCGGACGCGGTGCGCGCGCGCGGGAAGCTGAACCCGAGCCGCCTCCAAGACCAGATGTTCGCGTACATGGTCACGAACCAGGTGATCAACTTGTTCCTCGAGGTCGGCTTGCCGTTCGTGATGCGCTTCGTGGGCAAAGTGACGAGCGGTGGGGCGAAGAAGGATAAGGACGCGGGCGTGGGCGGGAAGAAGAAGCGGGTCATCTTCGAGGACGAGACCAAGAGCGAGGGCGAGGAAGGGAAGGAGGAGAGGGCGCTGTTGGAGCGCGTGAGGAGCGAGGTCGCGCTGCCGGAGTACGAGTTGTTCGGGGACTACAGCGAGATGGTAACGCAGTTCGGGTACGTTGTGCTCTGGAGCACGATCTGGCCTCTTGCCCCCGGTACGTCGAGAGCTGCACTCGAACCTTTTTGTCACGAGGTGCTGACGGTGCCCGCGCCAGTGATGTCCCTGCTCAACAACTGGCTGGAGCTCCGGAGCGACGCATACAAGATCACCGTACACCAGCGCCGGCCGATCCCCGTGCGGACGGACACGATCGGACCCTGGGTCGACTCGCTCACGTTCCTCACCTGGCTCGGCGCGCTCACGAACGCGGCGCTCGTCTACCTCTTCCACGGCTCGTCCGCTCCCTCCGCGTCCGGCAAGGAGACGCTGCGCACAAGCTTGCGCGAGGAGCATCCGCACACGGAGGAGGTTGTCGGGCAACCGGTCCGGACCGCCCGGCAGCTCCTTCTGGGCGCGGCCGTCGTCGCGCTCGCCGCGAGCCACGGTTATTTCTTGGTGCGCTGGGCGGTGCGGCACCTCGTGGAGAAGGTGTCGTGGAGCGGGTCGCGGGAAGTTGAGGCAGCGCGTGAGGGTGACAGGACAGTGAAGGAGAACTACCTCAGCAGCTTGGGGGTGAAGCCCGCGGATGAGAAGCCGACGCTGGGAGGGGTAGATGGAATTGAGCAAGTGCCGGGGACGAAGGAGAACGTGAATGGACTGGATGCCGCGGGAGAGGTCTTTTGGGAGGGAGACGAGGGCCTGGAGGAGATTAGAAGGGCGGCGAAAGACGAGTAGATGATCGTCACGAACTACAACGCGAGTAGAATGATAGTTATCAACAGGTCAAGAAATTTCTTCTTGATTCATCGTTGGTTGTAATCGTACAGTAACACACGATAGTGCCAGCTACAACACTAGGTAATCCATCTTATGATCTCTTTTCATCGGCGGTATGGACGAACAGAGCGGAATCATCGTCATCTGCAGTTTTATCGTTATCATCATATAGCATCAACGATATATCCATTTGAAGGTAGGTAGCCCATCGGACCGGAGTTCGGTGGCGCACCAAGGCCACCCTGAGTGGATGGATTTCAGCCGGCCCGGTTTGAACGGAATACAGCACTAACCCTAGATACCCATGTGGATGTATGTCGCCCATCGAGTCGGAGAAAGGCCCGAGCGCCTGAGCTCTGTGGTAGCGGCGTCGAGCGCGTAAGGAATGGCAGAAGGGTCCAAATTGGTTGCCCCATCAAATAACGCATGATACACGCATTTAGCGATCAGTGGTCCGTCAGTGTCATTCATGGACCTATTGGCATCAAGGTCAGTCGGGGCATGACATCCGGAAGTCATGATTTCGAAACTGACCACATCGTCCCGATGACGGACTTAAACCCAGCAAACATCATAGCCGCGGACAAGCTGACCAGTTCGTCTGGCTGCTCTGCGTCGCCCTTGGCGCTCTCGCATGCACTCAGGAACGCGAAGAAGGCATCGGGCAGGTCGAGTCGCATGAGCGCGGAGATGGTCAACTTGCCGTCCTCAAGCACAAAGCCACTCTCCAGCGCATCGCCGACGTCTTGTTGGCCGTGACATGCAAGATGCAGTATTGAAGCACGCTGACAGCACCCCAGCGTCTCCGCCACGGTGGCATGAGCTCCGTTATGCTGAATGTCGACTGCAATTGGGAGAAGTTGCCTAATCTCTTGGACTTCTGTGAGGGTATTCGGTAGGTCGGCGTAGCCTGGTGTTTCCGGAGCCGTAACGAACAGCACCTTAGCATCAGCTACCGTTGCTGTCTTGAATCTTTCTCGTGCGTCTAAGAGTTTGCCAATGTTGGGAGAATACGACGAGACTGCAAAGTCGGAGACGCAGACATCCGTTGTGCCTGAGCGTATGCCGGCGGCGTGAACCGGAAGGAAAAGAAATAGCCCCGTCGGTATCCACCATAACCGTGGGCGTTCGCGGCCAGTTGCTTTCTGAATTTAGGGACAATCCGTCATAAGGCACATTTGGTATAGATATCGTAAGTTATGGGCCAAACTCACTTTCAGACCGAGGGCTTGAATGACGGGATATGCTACGCCGTGCCACAGCTCCGAAAGGATATCTTCCAGTGGATTTTCAAGCACTTTGCGCGTTATGGAGAGCCGAGTGTCGTCATGCGTGTCATGACCGTCACGGATTTCGCTAATCCTCTCCTCCGATTGTCTAGTTCCGGACTGCGTAAAGCGAGCTACCATTCTCAGTCGCTCGATGGGCACAGTCAGCTCGACTTGTACAGGACACTCCGCTAAGGGCTGCATGATTATGGCCACTGCCCGTGTAGCATCTGAGAGTAGCGTGACCACAGGACCTCCAATGGCAGCGACACGCAACTGGTCAAACGATAGCGGTTTCAGGAATTCTTCACACCTTGGGAACGTCCGCACAGTCTCAACAAGTGATTCGAATTCGCGGTCAGCTTGTCGTCGAGATGCAGCTTCCTCCATTACTTTGCTCGCATCAGATGTCCTCGCGTCCAGTTTGGATGATACGGCACGGAGCTGGCGTGCGATGTCCACGGGTATCGGATACTGTGCCAAAGGATCCCGCAAGCGTGTTAATTGTGCCCATGACACTCCTCTGCGGCTGCCTTCAGTATGTTGCTCTGCTCGAGACCGCGCTGCATAACTGACCTGCCTTCTTCCAGCATTAATATTGCATCCTCAGGGAGTCCTTGAGAAAGAAAATAGATGGCGGCCTCCTGCACCAGGCCAGGCAAGCGCCTGGAGAGCTTGAGCGAGTCCAGACGTCGCTTTGGGTCCAAGGCCAGGTACGCGAGACGTGGTAGTAGACCTACTACTGTGCGGTAGGCTTCGGCCAAATAGTCGTTCTCGCCAGCCTCTTTTGCGCGCTGCGCCCAATCTATCGCAGCCTCGAACCTGTTGCGTATCCAAGAATTCTTCTCCTTTGAAGTCCGGCGAAACAACTCCATGCAACGTTGAAGATCCTCACGTTGATGGCTCACACGGAAACGGGCATAAAAGTCCTCGGCGAGCTGCCCCAGGCGATCCGAAAGACTGGGGTGGTTCTCAGGAAGGAAGGAGATGGCGGACTCATGGATCCGAATCGCGACCCACCATCGTCAAAGCCACGACTCCATGCTTCTCGTAGGACATCTCCAAGGGCAGAGAACTTGTACAATGTCTCCTTCGGGACTATGCGGGCCACTTCCCGAGCCGCGGCTGCTGCTTCTGCGAGGTTTCCGAATGAGCCTCTCCTTTCTGCTGCCGATGCAAGGGTGAGGGCGAAGTTCGTCAAGTAAACAGGCCTTCGGATATCACCGATGGGGCAGAGAGCCAGACATTCTCGGCGAAGATGAATGGTTGTATCGTTGTCAAGGGTGTCTCCTGTCACCTTGAAGCGTGCCCCATGTAGGTTGGCGAGATTATGGTGTAAGTGGTGATAGTCCGCATAAGACCTAGGTGTACTGTCCAAGCACTTCGATGATATGTCCACGCCTTCTTCCAAGTCTCCGATGTGTCCGAGAACGCGGAATCGGAGTAGCAAGCACCAGCTCATGTTCGATACAGCAGTAACCGCATCCTGGGCGTCGCGGTCGGGGATCGTAATGAGACACTGTCGATATAGAGTGATGGACTGATGAAGTAAATCCTCAGATCCGACATGCATATACGAATAATGTAAACAAGTAGCAAGAGTGGTCGTAACTCTCGCACGATAGCAGTGGCAATTAGGGCAGCTGTCGTATGCCATCTGCGCGCACATACGGGCCTCGGAAATGTCACCGGCGGACGGCGTTTTTGTATACTTGATTACAAGGGTGTCCGCGAGGAAGTAAAGTGGCATCCATCGGTCCGGGTGCTGGTCTCGCGCGGCTACATCGCGGGCCTCAGCGAGCAGTCGTCGATATCCCTTGTTATACCGTATCTCACGAAACGAAACCTCAGCGCCCGCCCGAGCGACACGAGAGACGCGACGAGATCCATCGACGATTGACATTGTCGAGCCAGAGTTAAGGCCGTTTTAGACGCCTCGACAGCTTCTTTCAACAACTGCGCGTTTCCCGTGGCCCATAGATGGAGGAGTAATGTATCGCAGAGTCCCGTCAACGCGGGAATAGATCGCTTGTTGGTGGAAGGGAACAGCGCCAGGGACTCATGCCATATGGAGGTGGCTTTGTCCAGGGTATCTGCGCGAAATGGATGATATCGAGCCGAACTGGTCAGTGCTCTGGCTAATCCGATCATCATGGTTGCCTTGACAGTAGCGTGCGCCTGACCCGCTAATGCTCTCTGAAATAGTGATATCGCTCCATCAAGGTCGGACGTTGAAGAGGTCCATGTATGCCTATCGTCAAGAGCTGATGCAAGTGTGCATAATACGGATTCTTTGTCCGGCGAGGTGAGTTCTTGTAAATCCATCGCTCTCTTGCACAGCACGATGGTCTCATCGAGCGACGTAATATCGCCTGTATAGTGGAAGAGGTCATGGAGGTAAGAGCCAAGAGCTTTCATGCTGTCCAAAGACCGCTCGTCAGAGGTAGCGTATCGAGACAAGCGCTGGCGATATCCGTCAACGATGCCTTGCAGGATTGAGATCGGTGACTGGATATCCACTGTCTCTTCCGTCGGCGTTGCTTGTACCTCTCGAGGAGCATACACTCCGGCGTCATGGGTGTGGATGCCCTGCGCAAATACGGTAAGGTAGATCTTTGAACATGCCTCTCATACTAGTAGCAAGGGCCTCAGCGCACCATCTTACAGTAAAGTCAGTCCAGCCCACTTTCGCCCGTTAATCAGGCCGGTCCGGGTATGGGGAGTATGGAGGTATTGCATGACGTGTGGTGTATCATGAGTTATAGCTTGCATGCCTTGGGTCTCACTCAGCATCTTTGACCAACCTAGAGCTCTATAGTAGATGTTCCAGCGTGATACATACTCAGTCAGCGGTGCACATGAAAAGATCCATCCGAACATAGTCCTGCGATGGTCCCGGATCCGAACAGATTTTCAGAGAAAGAAGCAGATTCGATATGAAAGTGGAGAGCGTGCATCAAGAGAAGCAAAGCTTGAGCTTTTCTTACGATTGTGCATCAACGAAGACGTTGAACAAAGTGACCCACACGTGCCACGTGGTCGGTCGTACCGAACCTAAGGTCACTACATAATCCACTGATACAAATTTCTTTCCATATTGGCGCAGGAGCAACGCGATGTAGAACGTGTAGTATCTGCTAGTTATATACCCATATGGATGTAAGTTGCCCATCGGATAGGACTAGCACCTGATTCTCTGAGCTCTCGCGCAGCGGAATCCAATGCATAAGGTATGACACGGGGATCAAGTATTTCCGACCCATCGAGCAGCGCTTCGTAAACCTGCCGGGCTACTGAAGGTCCATCGGCGTCGTTCATGGACCTGGATTCGAGAGCAGCGGTTAGCATGACCACAACGCTAGCAAGTTTGGAGCATGCTGGAGACGTACCACATCGTTCCAATCACGGATTTAAATCCCGCAAACATCATGGCAGCAGAGAGATTAATCACCTCGTCAGGCTGTTCCGTATCTCCTTTAGCGCTCTCGCAAGCACTCAGGAAGGCAAAGAAAGCATGAGGAAGGTGGAGTTGCATCAGCGCCGACACAGTCAGCTTGCCATCCTTCAGGACGAAACCGCTATCGAGGGCGTCTTCGCTGTTCTGTTGCCCATGGCAGGCGAGATGAAGGATGGACACCTGTGGACACGCGCTGAGAGTTTGTTCAACCGTAAGTTGACTATCGTCAGAACTGTTCAGTCGTATCAACATGGTCGAAGGGAGGAGCTGCGAAATTCCTTCGGCCTCGGCGACGATGTTCGGCAGGACACCGAGTCCTGGCGCATCCGGCTGGGTCACGAGCAAAACCCGAGCATCACTTGCGGAAATCCTTCGAGAGCGTCCCCGGGCTTCAAGCAATGTTCCAATGTTCGGAGAGTACGACGATACCGCGAAGTCAGATAGGGAAACGGGTTCAGGCCCAGAATATATGCCTGCAGCATGAACGGGGAGGAACAGGAAGGCGCCTGTGGGCACCCACCATAGTCGAGGGCGATCCCGACCCTGAGCAGGCTGCAGAAACCTGTCAGAGATGCGAGAGCGTAACATGATCATGCACCAACCTCGAGACCCAGGGCTTGGATTACCGGTTGCACCACTCCATGCCATAATTCCGAAAGGAGTTTCTGAACGGGATCGTGCTTTGGCCTGAGCTTCTGAATGCGTAATGCCAACCTCGCTTGTTCAAGTTCCGTTCGATCGTTGGCGGTACTACTCGTGTGTCTGGCATTCCTTGATTCAGCGTACATGAAATCGCCAACTATCTTTAGACGTTGGGGTGAAATCGATAAAGTTACTTTTGCTGCATCGCCCGAAGCTGAGGGGATGACGATTGCCTCGGCGCGACTATCGTGGGCGACGAGGATGATCACGGGGCCCTCAGCAGCGGCAAGGCACAGTTGCTCGAAGGACAAGGGCTTCAGGAAGCTTTCGCAACCAGGATGCTTGCGCGCCAATTCAACGAGACGGTCGAATTCAAGCGTAATTTGTCGACGAGTAGCAGCCTCATCTTCCATAGGGCCAGAACCTATGGACCTCGCCTCCAGTTTTGCAGCGATTTCGGTAAGTCGTGATGCCAGGTTGGCCGGTAGGTTTTGATTTCCTTGATGGTCTCTGAGACGCATCATCTGCGCCCAAAACACGCCTCTAACCAGCAGTGAAGCACTGACCAAAATACTGGAAAATGTGGGCTAACCTTCCCTCTTCTAGAAGTTCGATCGCTGTAGTAATCATATCCTGTGCCAAAAAATGCAGGGCAGCGCTCTGTACTAAACCAGGCAAGCGCCTTATAAATTTGAGTGATTGCAATCGCTGAGTGGGGCTGAGGTGGAGATAGACAAGGCCAGGGAGCAACGCTAATGCTCGCCGATAAGCTTCGGAGATGCAGGACACGTCCCCTGCCTCCGTGGCTCGCTCAATCCATTGAAGCGCGGCGTCGAACCGGTCGCGAATCCACGAACTTTCGTGCGATACTGCGTCGCGATACGCCTGCATGGACCGAGCTAGATCCGCAGCGTCCTCCGTCGCGCGATATTTCGTAAACCACTCGTCCCCGAGGTCTGCGAGCTTCTCCGCAAAAATCGGATGGCCCGGAGGAAGTGTGGCTACGCCACTTTGGTGCAATTCTATCGCGTCCTGTAGTCCGTTGGGGTCCATCCCGCGTTCCCATGCAGCCCGTAGCACGGTCCCCAGGCTGGCATATGTGAAACGATTCTGTGACGGGACAGCCTCGATTGCTTCTCGCGCTGCGGCAGCAGCTTCGGGGAGGCACTCGATCTTTCCCAGCTTCTCCGCCGCACTGTGCAGACTGTAGGCAAGATTGGCAAGGTAGAGTGGTCGACGGACATCCGTAAGAGGGCAGAGTTCGAGAGTCTCTCTACGAAGGCGAATTGCTGTTTGGCTGTCTGACTCCCGCTCTAGGGCTTTGAACCGGGCGCCGTAAAGATTAGCAAGGTTTTGGATGAGGTTGAAGAAACCTGCGTAGTACCGCGGCACCCGTTCAATACAGTCCGTGAGGAATTCAATCGCGGAGTCCAAATCTTCTGCCTGATCCATGATTCGATATCGATAGCGGAGCGCAGAGGATAGATTGGATATGGCAACCACACACTCAGGCATCTCCCGAGTTGGGCACAGGGAGATGCATTCGCGATAAAGCGTGATTGAATGGTGGAGCAGGTCTTCGGAGCCAGCAAGGTTGTACTGATGGTGTTCGCTCGTAGCAAGGACGACGATGACGCGTGTTCGATAGAAATGATTCGGGGGACAGAGGTCCGACGCCTGCCGGGCGAGAGTTGTCGCCTTCGATATGGTGTCAACAGACGAAACCTTTACTCCGCGAAATATGAGAGCGTCGGCCCAAGCGCAGAGTGGTCTCCATCGGTCCGGGGAGGACGTGATGGAAAGTTGCTCATAAGATTCAGCGAACATCCGTTCGGCTTCTTCCATGTCTTGCATGCTCCCCGTTTTCACGAAACGTTTCGCTAGGGCGTTACCGAGGCCAATAAGCGCGAGGGAGTGGTCGGGCGACCATGTCATGGACGAGGCGGCTCTCACCGCACTACGGGAGACGTTGATGTCTTCTTCGAGAAGATCGATTCTGCCAGTTGCCCAGTATTGCAACTCCAGCACCTCAGAGAGACCAATGGAAGGTGATATGGATTGAGCGGCGTCGTTGGAGGTCGATTCTAGACAACGACGAAGGCAAACGATGGCTTCCTCGATACGACCATCATCGCTGAATGGGTGATATCGACATCTTGTGGTCAAGGCTGTCCCCATTAGAAGTAGAGAGGAAGTCGTATCTGAGTCGTATTGCATCCTGATGTCTCGCGCTGCCCGACATAACGAGATAGCCTGGTCGAGATCCGCCACCATCCCGGTCTGCATGTGTCGATCCTGCAAAGCACTACCCAGCGCTTCAAGAATTGCGGCATGTTCAAGTGAGCGTAATTCTTGCAACTCAAGCGCGGTCTTGAGATGGAAAATCGCTTCATCGAGAAGATGAACACCGCCTCGGTGGCGGAAATCATGATGCAACGCGGCTGCTAGAGCTGTCAGATTTTCGATACATCCGGCGCTGCCCGCAGTACATTGCGAAAGGCATCCTCGATGATATTCGATCGTCCTATGAGTCTCGGAGATACGTGTTCGTGTTGTCTTCTCATCAGGCACGGTTGCGATGCCAATGATTGAATTTCGGCGGACACACCCAGCCTGAACAGAACATGAGCTCCAGAAACGAGGTATGAATGAATCAGAGTGGAAACTTACATGGCTCTCCGTGTGATCAGATGAACAAGACATGTGTGATGCACTCTTGATCAAGGCTGGGCAAAAGAGCTACTGGTTGATAGGTAGCTGCACGACGATGGGGATGGTAACGACCGATGCCGCGCGCCAGAACCCTCGCAGTATATACACGCAAAGGCAGGTGAGAAGTGATCGCCTAAACATTGGTGGAGCCTGACTGGGAAGGAGCATGCGTTCGTTGGCGCTTCCGGCGGCCTCCGATGACCCAGGAGGACATATTCATGGAGTTGAATTGGTGGCTTGCGTTACACACGGACTCGTTCGGCGCCCCCAGGAGTACTTGGATTCGAGAAACGCAATGGCACTACGAGCCAAGGGTGAATCGCGTGTGCGCCGACACCCGCGTGGGTCGAGCGCCTTCGTGGCGCCGGGCCGCCGGCTTCGGCACAAACGAGAGGCTGACTCTGTACTTTGGCTACGAAGAAGGAATCAACTGGTCTGCCATGATCAAGTGAACCTGCTGCGATCCAATTCAAACCGTTTAAGAACAGACCGTGTCGGCAACTTAATAGAAGAATCGAAGGTCGCCCGTGCTACTAACTACTATGGATACAGCACAGGAAGCTCTATATAGTGCAAACGGGGTTAAGGTATATTGGTACGAAACATGATGGACAGGGAGGCGACGATAACCCGACATCGCAGAATATGGCCTTGTTGAAGGGAATTTATTGCGCTGCTTGACGCGACGCTTCCCTTTTTACCTCGCTCGCCCATTTGAAAAAATTGCATCTGTACTCGGGATTCACCTCTTCACGTAGGCGCTCCCCTCTTCCCTTATCGTAGCCAGGTCCGACAGGTCTGGAGAACGAAGTCCGTTAGCAACGGTGCCGAAAAACGAACATCCGAAGCGTGTTCTGACCTTGAACACAGGTAGAACGTTTTACCCTTGTTCGGCCCAGGTTTGTTCACGGTCCACTCCTTCGCCAACTCGTTGTGGACAGTGCATCTGGGCACAGGAATTGGAGCAAACATCTGAGACCAAGCAGCCTTACTCTCCGCAGCGGACCTAGGAGAACTCGCTTCACTCCGCATCACGAGACTCTGTTGCGATGCAGACAACGTCTGAGCCAACTGAAAGTCGGCATCAATTTGGTCGACATCTTGAGTTGCATCGACATCGATAACCTCTTCAGCAGGACACGGTGCATGCACGGTCGAGGATGATGCTGAACGTGACAGCGGTTGAACGTCAGGCGGACCCGGCGGAGAGGAAGTCGGAGGTTTCGTGAAGAAAGTCGATAGCTTGCTTTGCCCAGCTTTCTGTTGTTTCTTCGCCTTCTTGGTGGTAGCAGACACGCTCTCAATCGATTTTCTCTTTGTAGACGAAGGTGGGTTCGATTTAGCTACGTGTTGGGACGGGCTCGGGGGTGTGGATGTAGGAGGCAAAGACGCAACCGGGTAGCTTGTTGGCGGTGTAGAGAGAGTTGGTGCTGCGATGATCTCCTTCGGGACAGGAGCCGCTGGAGGTTCCACCGGCGTGCTAACCGGTGTGGGAACAGGCGTTGCGGTTGCAGGTGGAAGCGGCGGTGGGGCTGGCTGAGAGTTAGGAGACACGGAAGATAATGTTACACTTGTTGAAGGAGGGAGGGCTTTTCCGCCTTTGCCAAAGAAAGACGACAACAACGTTTGCTTGCCTGAAAACTCTGGCCAGTATTTGGCTGCGAGGCGGGGTGTGACCCTGAATTGATTCATCTTCAGACTATCGCGCAACTTGATGTCCTGGCCGGGCAAGATGTCATGGCTAACAGAGACTTCAGGCTCAGTCAGCCACGCCGGAAACGCAGCACTCACAGATCCACCCATATTGGACAATGATCCGAGCCCTTGACGGACGCCTCTATATCTGCCGCTTTCACCCAGGGGAGAAGACCTGGTGTCACGAGGATATAATCAACCCGTGTCCCGTAGTTGGTCTCTCGCCCGCCAATCTTCTGATTCCAGACTGGAACAGGAATATGAGATTTCCCCATCGAGGGCGAGTGGGAAGTCGCGTACCCGTATACATCCCTTTGCGCTCCGGCCAGAAGCGCCTCAAGACGTCGATCATGAGTCCGTTGGGATCAAGCCAGTTATGGAACCATGCCCGAGCAGGATGGTCCCAGAACGTGGCGGCGTTGCTAGGAAGGTGTCCGTCGCAGTGGTCGAGCGGTGTCGCGCAAATGTTCATGTCGCCCACCACCATGACTTCCCGTCCTTCTCCGACAAGCTCGCGCACGCGTTCCTCCAGCATGAGGTGGTAATTCATTTTGAAGGGGAGTCGTGCATCGGAAGTCTCGTTGGGGCAATACACGTTGATCAACACGAAAAGGCCGAAATCAACCATCAAGGCGCGTCCCTCGGAGTCAAGCCCGATAAGGTCAGAAGGAGTGTTTCCTTCTTCATCCGGGTAGAGCGTCATATCGTCCGCGGATGGCTTGGAGGCAGAGATGCGATCTTCCGGAGCAAGCTGAGTGTTCCCTGGCAGAGTCCCAGAAAGACCTTCCTCCGCTTTCAGTGGCATGGCGTTTTCGGAATTGGTGAATACGCCTACGCCGCTGTACCCGCCTTTGCTGACGGGGTAGGACAAAAACGCGTCATACAAGCCTGGCACGGCAACATTGCGTTCCGTGTTCGCGCGACATGACTTCAGTTCTATACATTCCCGTGAACTGAGGGGCGATCGGATGCATACGGAGTGCGCACCTTGAAAGCAGATGACGTCCGCATCTAGTGCCATGAGAATGCCTTCGAAGTCTTTATATGTGTTCCATCTGATACACTTCATGTTGGACTTGTTCGAGGTTACGAGGGCAAAGTAGACGCACGGGTAGTACTTTGGTAGAGTTCGTATGCCATTCTGCACGACCGATGAGATTGCTGCCAGCGCCTAAACTCACGTCCTTACGATGTTCCAAGAGACTATGCGCATATGGTGTCTAACTCAGGGGAGGAAGACTCGAGTAGACACATAAAGCACGCGTATATAGGTTCAAATATGGCCGGAATCACCAGATGGACGACGACAGTTTGTTGACAAGAACCTGCACCACCGCCGGCGCTTTCGACGACGACGTGCCCGGAAGTCGTTTCGCACGTGATGTCACTAAATCAGGGGCTTTTCGCTTTCGTCCGACGCTCAGCATATAATGCGGTTGTCGAGTTCAGCAAACCACCAGCACGATTATGTTGGTATTAGTGACATGGCGTAGGCTAAGCTTCTATGTCTCTATTGAAGTACGCAGACCAACACGCACCAAATCCCTCGCGTTGCCTGATGCCTCGCTGTATTTTGCCATGAAGTACTCGTCCCTGGCAGCTGCATGATCATGAGTACGACGGTGACCGAAGGGATAGGTGTCACTAACCCGCGTTCACCCAAGCATCGTCTTTCCAGACCTCGAAGATGGAGGCCGCCTCCTCCACGCTGAGCCTGTCTGGTACAGGAAGAGCCTTCAGCCCGCGCGTGTACTCGACGATTTCAGGGGAGCGCTTCACGTATGGCCCGGTCGGCTTGTCGTGCGGCAGTCCCAGGGCTTCCCTCAATTCGACGGGGAGCTGGAAGAGGGTGTGCTCCGTGGAAATGGCGCCCATCACTGCGCCGCGTGCCTGGGTAATCGAGTGGGAAGTAAGCGGAGATAGAAGTCTGCGGCTGCGAACAAGGAACGCACGAAGGACCTGCGGCCACTCGCATATTCCAATATAAGCCTTGGCATGGAGAGGTGATATGGCTTGATCGTGCCGAAGTTCGCGTCGCGGTACAGGGTTTTGCAGTACAGTGCCTGGAAGTCATCGACGGCAAGCAGAACCGGATAGCTGCGACGATGTCAGGCCAGGACGTAGTTGTGTGAAATCTGGGGCATACTCTTTCTGCTTCCCCAGTTCATCGAGAACTGCAGTCAGCACAGAAGGTGCCATGCTAGGATCCTTCGTGCCTATGCTGATGAGAGATGCCAGGCTAGTACCGGCCGGTACGGGTGCCGGTCGCCTGTCCAGCGTCACTTCCAATTGGGTCTTCAGCTCCTCCAACGCCGCGGAGTTGACGGTGAGGAATCGTTGTAATGTTTGAAAGGCGAAAGCAGGTTGCACATAGGTTTGTGTGCGTAGGTCGTAGACGTAGGGCGACGTTGAGTTGACCATATTGATCGCTACAAGGGCAGGGCAGGTCAATACGCAGGTTATTGCTCGAGAACGCAGCTTACTTACCACGCGGGAAGTACAATACTATCCAACCATTCGCGAAGCAGTGTTCCAGAGCTTGAAGGAGTGTGTAACTCTTTCCACATCCCGGCTCCCCGGCTAGTGCAAGTCAGCAAAACGATCTGAAATTCGGGGAGGCGTAGGTACGTACTCAAGACAACTCGCGTGTGTAAACTTGATTGCTTGTTGGCCGCCGACAACCTCTCTACTACCGTCTTCGTCACGTCTCGCACGACCGAAAAGGGTGCAGAGATCATTCGAAACTGTTATGAAATATGAGAGAGGCACTGCACTGGATATCAAATAGCGTACCTCCAGGAGGATGTCCTTCGGTAAACCGAAAATCCGTACAGGGCTGTTCTCCTTCATCGGAAACCTCATAGCTTTGGCCACACGGAGCTTGTCCTAGGATGCTTTGTTTAGCCATCACGTATGTACCAAGTCAGACATGGCATCGCACAGGTTGGAAGGCAGACAAGGATAGCGGATTCCTCGACTCGGGGTGGAACAATGGGTGCGTGAGTTGGCCAGCGTTCATGGGGCGGAACACCTTTGTGAAACGTGTTAGCACGCAAGGGCGAGGGGTTGGTCTGTCGTAACGCTAACCCCAGGCCATTTCTTGTCGACTCGTCCTGTGGGTAAGTGCTTGACACGCTTCCTCTCCTTCTTTTTCTGCCATGCTGTTGCGACGAATAACTATCAGGTTCGGAGGCTATGATATGAGAAGGATAGACGCACAAGCCGTGGTCGCTACTCTGGGAGCATTTGGGTCATTCGAGGCGTAGCGTTTCTGGGAGCAAATGGCGCTAGGGCCAGCAGGCGCCGCGCGGGGGACTTTGCGTAGGGTCGTGGCCAGAAGCGACATATTTCAACCCTGAAGCCAGAAAAGGGAGGGCGCAGACAGGACAATTCTAACGAAGTGGATATTTGACGACCGTCGTAGAGAAAATACGGCCGTCCAAGGTTTAGCAGGCTTGCCTGCTCGCGGCGACTGGCGTTGGCGAATTCGACCGGGCACAGTGTGACAAAGCTCGGCGTACACCGGTGTCGTGACCGGGTCACGTAGAGTATCAATGCCACTCAGCCGCTTTCAGCTCTTGTCGTTAGCTCGAGATTATCGTCTTTCTGTTTATGTTCAGTGCTGAGATCTAATGGGCTCCGACTTCAGCCCCCGAATACCAGAAGATAGAGCGCCTTCGGTTTGACGATTGGAATGTTGTCCTATGCTCGCTTTCTGCTTCCACTAGGCTATCCCGCGTTCATCGCTTCGCCTTATTGGTAAATTCCATCACTTTTCGCGACATGTTCGATGCAGAAAGCGGTGGAATAGGTAACGGAGATCCAAGCGTCGAGGGGTGCGCGGTCATTCAGCTGGCAGATGATCCGGAAGATATCAGGCATTCCTGAACGCTTTGTACTATCGCAAGTGAGCAGTACATATTATCCCTTCATATTAGCCTGTGCTCGCGTCGAATAGGTACTTTGTGAAGGAAAAACTCATACACCTCGACATAGTAGTGTCGTTGCTCCGGCTAGCAACAAAGTATATGGCAACGGACCTGCGGGAAGGCATAGCTGCGCATATGTTGACCCGTTACCCCTCCGCTCTGAGGGACCTTCGTCGCGCAGAAGTCTGACTCTGCGAACGTGTGAATGAACGTATTACTATCCAGCTTCGCATCCAGAGTGCACAAGGGACACAAGCGGCAGTGGCAGCCTGCAGGGCTCGATTGGGGAAATAGGGAGCGTGACTTGAAGACGGTCGCCGGCAGTCACAGGTCTCACGTGAGGATGCCAGGCCTGTCACACCGCGTCGAGGGACGCGTTGATCCGCGCGCGCACATCCATACTAATGGACCTCGCTGCTGTGACCCCTCCTGGCTGGAGTATCACGGAGACTCTGGAAATACCAGTATATTAGAAAGACCAAGAGCTATGGTTTGAGGACGGCAACATTGTTATCTCCTCCTTCTTCGCCCCCGATACACTCTTCCGAGTACACCGCTCCATCTTATCCCTAAATTCGGTGGTGTTCCGCGACATGTTTGCGTTGGCTTGCAGCGGTCCAGGAAGCGGTTGTCCGACGTTTGAAGGATACCCACTCATCCAGCTCGCGGACGACCTCGATGACATCAGACATTTCCTGGGGGCATTATATCATCGCAGGTGAGCAGGCGAATCCATTGTGTGTGAACGCAGTTTCTTTGCCAATGACGTGAAGCTACTTTCAAAAGGGTATCGACATGCACCTAGACGTCGTCGCTGGCATGCTTAGGATGGCCACGAAATACATCGTGACGGACTTGCGGAAGGATCTGATCGCACACATGGAACTGCTATACCCCCTCTCACTCAAGGAGTTTCGCGCCACAGTGGAAGATGGGTCACATATTGACGATGATGGTCATTCCTTCGTCGCGGTGCAGATCGCCCGCGAGAGCAACATACCCTCGATCCTCCCCGCCGCCCTCTATCACTGTTGCGAGTTGCCCGTCCAGAGCTTGCTCGATGGCGTCGAGTTCTCCGGGATGTTAGGCCCTCGCCGGGTGCGGCTCCCGGCCTCCGATCTGCGAGCCTGTCTGCTCGCTCGCGGAAAGTTAATCAAAATCAAGGCCGAGAATATCGATGCATTCCTCTGGGACGACGGTCCATCCGCTTCATGCCGAGACCCTCAGGGCTGCTCCGAGTGTTTGCGCTGCTGTCAAGACGACGAGCGGCAGAATGGATACTTCGACACCTGCGATATCTTCACGAGGAGGCTGCGGTCGGTTTACCACGGGACCGCAGAAGGGGATTTCTGCTACAAATGCCAGGCGGCGTGGAAGCGTAAGGAGGAGGAGGAGCTAGAACGAACTTGGCGTGAGCTTCCTGCGGTCTTCGGTCTCGAGGACTGGGCAGAATTAGAAAAACAGAGCCGGTGCATGTGAACGCCGAGGGTGCCATGACGGAATGTACAGCGACAATAGCAGCGTTGTAGACACGTCAAGCGCGGATTCAATTGCTCTCCACCCCCTCGAGCGAGCATGAGATAACGCCCCAGGGGGTTCCGTTGCATCGTATCGCGCAGTCCTGGGCAGCGATGGCGTTGCCGACGGGGCACAACGTTGAACATGCGGGATCGTTCCCATAGATCCTCTCTCGGCGCCTCGATTCGACATGAGCGTTGGAGTACGGCGTGCGATAAGGGTTCTGTTCGGCGGTTTGGTGCCCGCGTAGATCCACACATCAGACAGAGCGTATGCTCCCACCCGCAAGAAGCCGCACACCTCGCACACCTAACCAGAACCTAGGGCGCGCGTCTTACGTCAGCCACGATCGTGCCCGTCGACCTTCCCCATGCATGCCAGCGTCAAAATTTGGGGAAGTTCGGCACGGGCGCACGCCCTCTCTTTACCTCCAACCACCACCACCCGGGACAGTCGCTCGCGATGTCCAAGTACGATCACGGTAGAGTCTCCCAATTCGTGGGTGGCAACTCCCTCGAGACCGCGCCTCCCAGTCGCGTCAAGGACTTCGTCCAGACCCACGGAGGTCATACGGTTATCACCAAGGTATATGCGTTTCGTCGGGACACATTTACGTGGCTAACAGTGCCCTTTACTCGATAGGTCCTGATTGCGAACAACGGTAGACTTCACTCTGTCTCACGGTCTAATATGGAAAGTTCCTGATGATTGATGCGTTAAGGTATCGCCGCCGTCAAGGAGATCCGCTCAGTCCGCCAATGGAGCTACGAAACTTTCGGCACAGAGCGGGCCATCGAATTCACGGTCATGGCTACGCCGGAGGACCTGAAGGTCAATGCCGAGTATATCCGCATGGCCGACCGCTACGTCGAGGTGCCCGGGGGTACCAACAACAACAACTACGCGAACGTCGAATTGATCGTCGATGTGGCTGAGCGCGCCGGTGTCCATGCTGTATGGGCCGGTTGGGGCCACGCGTCCGAGAACCCCCGATTACCGGAGAGCCTCGCCGCCAGCAAGCACAAGATAGTTTTTATCGGTCCCCCGGGCAGTGCCATGCGCAGCTTGGGTGATAAGATCTCGAGTACGATCGTCGCCCAGCACGCCGAGGTACCCACGATGGCGTGGTCCGGAACGGGCATCACCGACACTGTCCTGTCGGAAGGCGGTTTTGTGACCGTACCGGATGGTGCATACCAGAATGCATGCGTCACGAGCGTTGAGGAAGGCTTGGCCAAGGCGGAACAGATCGGCTTCCCGGTCATGATCAAGGCTAGTGAAGGTGGAGGAGGCAAGGGTATTCGGAAAGTCGAGAGTCCGGATGCCTTCAAGAATGCCTACAATGCTGTGATGGGCGAAATTCCAGGTTTGTTTGGATTTCTTATTTCAATTGGGACATGTAATAACACACGATCAACAGGCTCGCCTATATTCATCATGAAGCTTGCCGGCCAGGCCCGCCATTTAGAGGTGCAGCTTCTTGCAGACCAGTATGGCAATGCCATTTCGCTTTTCGGACGTGACTGCTCCGTCCAGCGTCGTCACCAGAAGATCATTGAGGAAGCTCCTGTGACCATCGCGAAGGAAGATACTTTTGAGCAAATGGAGCGCGCCGCTGTCCGTCTCGCTAAACTTGTCGGTTACGTGAGTGCCGGCACCGTGGAGTGTAAGTTGGAAAGGCATCGCTATTTTTACGAATCGTTGACACATATGCCTCTTTCTAGACCTATACAGTCACGGCGAGGACGTATTCTACTTCCTCGAGTTGAACCCTCGTCTTCAAGTCGAGCACCCTACCACGGAGATGGTTTCGGGCGTCAACCTACCCGCTGCCCAGCTTGCGGTCGCGATGGGCGTCCCACTCCATCGCATTCGCCATATCCGTCAGCTGTACGGACTTGATCCCCACGGGGCCTCCGAGATTGACTTTGAAATGTCCAAGCCCGAGTCGAATCAACTGCAGCGCAAGCCGAGGCCGAAGGGCCATGTTGTCGCCGTCCGGATCACGGCGGAGAACCCAGACGCTGGCTTCAAGCCTTCGTCCGGTTCGTTGCAAGAACTCAACTTCCGTTCGAGTACCAACGTCTGGGGCTACTTCTCCGTCGGCTCCGCCGGTGGTTTGCACGAGTTCGCCGACTCGCAGTTTGGACACGTCTTTGCGTATGGTGCCGACCGTGGCGAGAGCCGCAAGAACATGATCGTCGCGTTGAAGGAGCTCAGCATCCGTGGTGACTTCAGAACCACTGTCGAGTATCTCATCAAGCTCTTGGAGATGAAGGCGTTCGAGGAGAACACGATCACGACTGGCTGGCTGGACTCCTTGATCAGCAGCAAGCTCACTGCTGAGCGTCCCGATGCGACCCTCGCGGTCATCTGTGGAGCCGTCACGAAGGCGCACCTCGCGTCAGACGCCTGCTGGGCGGAGTACAAGCGAATTCTCGACAAGGGCCAGGTCCCTGCTCGTGATGTGCTCAAGTCCGTATTCGTTATCGAGTTCATCTATGACAACATCCGATACTCCTTCACGTGCACCCGGTCGTCCGCGACGCAGTGGACGCTTTACCTCAATGGTGGCAGGGTTCTCGTCGCTGCACGCCCCTTGGCCGATGGTGGTCTGCTCGTGCTCATGGACGGCAAGAGTCACTCCGTCTACTGGCGCGAGGAAGTTGGCGCTCTTCGCCTCATGGTGGATGCAAAGACCTGCTTGATCGAGCAAGAGAACGATCCGACACAGCTCAGGAGTCCGTCACCGGGCAAGTTAGTTCGCTTCCTCGTCGACAGCGGCGACCACATCAAGGCTGGCGAGCCTTACGCCGAGATCGAGGTATGCTCTCAGATACATCCCTAGTGTTACCGCTGCTGACGTCTCGTTTCAGGTCATGAAGATGTACATGCCTCTCGCGGCTACTGAGGACGGTACCGTCCAGTTCGTCAAGCAAGCTGGCGTTACTCTCGAGCCTGGAGACATTATCGGCATTTTGGCACTTGATGACCCTGCTCGTGTCAAGCACGCCAAGCCCTTCGACGGCCTTCTCCCTGATATGGGCGTTCCTAACGTCATCGCCAACAAGCCGCACCAGCGCCTCGCCTACTGCTTGGGCGTCCTCAATGACCAGCTCGACGGCTACGATAACCTAGCCACTATGAATGCCATCTTCAAAGAGTTGCTCGATGTCCTCCATGATCCCGAACTGCCCTTTGGCGAGGTCAGTGCTATTCTGGCCACGTTCTCTGGCCGTTTGCCTCCCAAGCTTGAGGATAGCATCCGCGCCGCCATCGAGTCTACCAAAACCAAGGGCGATGGCGCCGAGTTCCCTGCTCCCCGCCTGAAGAAGATCCTGGATCACTTCGTTCAAGATAATCTTCGGGCTCAGGACCGTGCCATGTTCCGCACTCAGTTCGGTCCCTTATTCGATGTCGTGGAGCGCTACGTCGGTGGCATGCAGGTCCACGAGAAGAACACGTTGGCGCAGCTACTGAACAAGTTCTCCGACACAGAGAAGCTTTTCGGAGGCAGCATCGAAGCCCGGGTTCTGCAGCTTCGCGAAGAATTCAAGGACGACCCGGACAAGGTCGCAGCGCTAGTGTTCAGCCACATTCAGGCGCAATGCAAGGCGAAACTCGTCATGCTCATTCTCGATTATGTCAAGTCGCGGGGCTGGCCGTCCACCGCGGAGAGTCGACTTCGTGATGCTCTGCATGCCCTAACAGCGCTTGAGACTAAGTGAGTTGGCATCGAATGCGGCATCCTGCTGGGCTGACGGTATCCTTAGATCGTCCACCAAGGTTGCGTTGAAGGCGCGCGAGGTGCTGATCTCGTCATCCATGCCATCCTATGAGGATCGTCGCGTCCAGATGGGCAATATCCTCAAGGCGGCGGTTACCAACACGTACTATGGCGAAAACGCCGGCAACAGGTAATTCGTATGCTGGTTTTGTTGGTAGTCTTGCTAATTGTGTTGTCAGGACGCCGAACGCGGACGTTCTTCGTGAGCTCACTGACTCGAGGTACACCGTGTACGATGTCCTCCCGTCGTTCTTCGATAGCTCGGATCCCTGGACCGCCCTTGGTGAGTTGTGCCTCTGATGCTGCACCTTCTCAACTAATTTGAGGATAGCCGCCTTGGAGGTTTATGTCCGCCGCGCATACCGTGCATACCATCTCCTGTCCATCGATTACGAGGAAGGTGACGGTGCCGACGACGGTGACGACCCACACGTGGTCCTCTGGCGGTTCAACCTAGGATCGTCGCCGTCGCCGCCCTCGACGCCGCGGTATGGCCCAGGGTAAGTTAGCTGAGTCGCCGCATCATACCTTTGCTCACATGTCCGCGGTAGTGAACTGGCTAGCCGCCGCGCAGCGTCGGTCAGCGATCTCACGTACATGATTAACCGGCATCAGTCGCAGCCTGTACGCCACGGCGCCATCGCTTCTTTCCCTAACCTTGCCGCTCTTGATCGCGGGTTTGCAAACGTCGCCTCTTTGTTGCCTCAATTCGATGCCGCCGAATACAGGGAGAAGTACGGAAACAATAGCCAGCCTCCCAACGTCCTCAACCTTGCTCTCCGTATCTTCAATGAAGCGGACGATCTGTCTGAAGCCGCCTGGTCTGACGCTATCCAGTCTTTGATCAACAAGAACCGCAAGGTCCTGAATGAGCATGGCGTACGCCGTGTTTCCGTGCTCATCTGTCGTCCGGAGCAATATCCCTACTACTACACTCTGCGCGACATGGGCAAGTCCTGGGACGAAGAGCGTCACATTCGTAATATCGAACCTGCACTTGCCTTCCAGCTCGAGCTAAGCCGCCTCTCCAACTACAACCTCACCCCGTGCTTCGTCGAGAGCAAGCAGATCCACATCTACCACGGTGTCGCAAAAGATAATCAGCTCGATAATCGCTTCTTCATCCGCGCACTCGTCCGCCCTGGCCGTCCTGGAGGAAATATCACCACCGCGCAGTACCTTATCTCCGAGACCGATCGCCTCGTTGCGACCACGCTCGACGCCCTCGAAGTTGTCAGTGCTCAATATCGCAACGCTGACTGCAACCACATCTTCATGAACTTCGTGTACAACCTTCCGGTCACCTACGACGACGTTTTGGCGGCGATCTCCGGTTTCCTTGAACGCCACGGCAAGCGCCTGTGGCGCCTCCACGTCACCTCTTCCGAAATCCGCATTGTCCTTGAGGATAAGGAGGGTAACGCGACGCCAATACGGTGCATCATCGAGAACGTATCTGGCTTTGTTGTCAATTATCACGGGTACCAGGAGATCGTGACTGATAGGGGGACGACGATCCTTAAGTCCATAGGCGAGAAGGGTCCGCTGCATCTCCAGCCGGTTCACCACCCGTACGCCGTCAAGGAGTCGCTGCAACCGAAGCGTTACGCCGCGCACATCATCGGCACCACTTACGTCTACGACTTCCCCGATCTGTTCTCCAAGGCTTTGTTCAACCTCTGGGGCAAGGCTCGCAAGGCTAACCCCGCGTTGACCTTACCGAAGAAGCTGCTTGAATCGCGGGAGCTGGTGCTCGATGAACACGATCAGTTGCAGGAAGTAGACCGTGCTCCCGGTAACAACACCTTCGGTATGGTCGGTTGGGTCTTCACCATGAGGACGCCTGAGTACCCGTTGGGACGGAAGGCGGTCGTGATCGCCAACGACATCACCTACAAAATCGGTTCGTTTGGTCCCGTCGAAGATCAATTCTTTTACCTTGCTTCTACATATGCCCGCGAGCACGGTCTTCCTCGCATCTACCTATCTGCTAACTCTGGTGCTCGCATCGGGTTGGCCGAGGAGGCGCTTGGCCTGTTCTCAGCCGCATGGAACGATGAGTCCGCACCTGAGAAAGGCTTCAAGTACCTTTACCTCACCCGCGAGAACTTCCTCAAGCTCGAGGAGACGGCCCCCGGCGCTGTTCGTACGGAGGAGATTGAAGAGAGCGGCGAGAAGCGATACTTGATCACAGATGTCATCGGAACGCAGGATGGTCTCGGAGTGGAGTGTTTGAAGGGCTCTGGTCTCATCGCCGGGGAGACATCTCGTGCATACGACGACATCTTCACGATCACACTGGTTACCGCTCGGTCCGTCGGCATCGGCGCTTACCTCGTTCGCCTCGGCGAGCGTGCGGTGCAGGTTGAGGGCCAGCCGATCATCCTCACTGGTGCGCCCGCGCTGAACAAGGTGCTCGGACGGGAGGTCTACACGTCCAACCTGCAGTTGGGTGGCACGCAGATCATGCACAAGAACGGTGTATCCCACCTCACCGCGTCGAGTGATCTCGAGGGTGCCACGCACATTCTCGAGTGGATGTCCTACGTGCCGGCATCCAAGGGCGAGAAGCTACCCATCCTCGAGAGCACGGACTCCTGGGACCGCGACATCGCCTACAAGCCGCCCAAGGGCGCGTATGACCCGCGCTGGTTCCTCGGCGGCAAAACGGACGAGGCGAACTCTGAGTGGCTCAGCGGCTTCTTCGACAAGGACTCGTTCCAGGAGACGCTCAGTGGTTGGGCGCAGACCGTCGTCGTCGGCCGTGCGCGCCTCGGCGGCATTCCGATGGGCGCGATTGCGGTCGAGACGCGGACTATCGAGCGCATCGTGCCCGCAGACCCGGCGAACCCATCCTCGTTCGAGCAGCGGATCATGGAGGCTGGCCAGGTGTGGTACCCCAACTCGGCGTACAAGACTGCGCAGGCGATTTTCGACTTCAACCGTGAGGGCCTGCCGCTGATCATCTTCGCCAACTGGCGTGGTTTCTCCGGTGGTCAGCAGGACATGTACGACGAGGTGCTCAAGCAGGGCTCGAAGATCGTGGACGGCCTGTCGAGCTATAAGCAGCCCGTGTTTGTGTACATCGTACCGAACGGTGAGCTGCGTGGTGGCGCGTGGGTCGTGCTCGACCCGAGCATCAACGCTGAGGGACGTATGGAGATGTACGCCGACGTCGAGGCGCGCGCGGGTGTGCTGGAGCCTGAGGGCATCATCGAGATCAAGATGCGCAGGGACAAGATCCTCACGCTCATGGAGCGGATGGATGCTACTTATGCCCAGCTCAAGCGGGATAGCAAGGACCCCAGCAAGAGCGCCGAGGAGAAGGCGCAGGCGGCTGAAGCGCTTGCCAAGCGCGAGCAGTTCTTGCAGCCTACCTACAAGCAGATCGCGCTCTTGTACGCCGACCTTCACGAGTAAGTGCCCACGAGATATGGTAGTTGAATTGGCTACTGACACGATTGTCAGCCGTACCGGTCGCATGGAGGCGAAAGGTTGTGCCAAGCCGATGGTGTGGAAAGATGCTCGTCGGCGCTTCTACTGGCGCGTGCGCGCCCGGCTCGCTTATAGCGCCGCGCTCGAGAAGCTCGCGCAGGCGTCGCCCATCTCGACGCACGAGTACCGCACGCGTCTGCTGGACACGTTGAGCCAGATCAATGACCTGCCTGACGCGCGCGCGCAGGCGGAGGCGCTTGAGCAGCTCGACCTCGCGCCGACGCTGAGCCAGCTCAAGGCGGACGCGGTCGCGAAGCGGCTCCTCGACGTCGGCCGGGACGACCGCAAGGCGATGGTGAGCGGCCTTGCGAAGATGGTGGACAACCTCACGGCGGACGAGAAGGAGGCACTGCGCGCCGCGCTGGCGAGTCAGGGACGGAGTCCTGGTCAGTTCCCGTTTCGCGCCCCTGCCCCGTTCACTTCTCTGCTTGGTGTTTTGTCCCCGGTCAGGACGCTGATATCATTTTCGTTCAGGCCCTCCGAGTTATGAGACTGCATGAACGGACGACGGTGTTACGACGCGCGTTTTCTAACGAGGTTTTTTTTTGCTACGATCATCCAATCACGTCTGCTCGCATATGCTCACACATCCAACTGTCTCTTTTGTTCTTGCTTTGCTTCGGTCATATGCTGTCGGTCATCATCTAGATCATCTGCTCCTGTATAGATTACCCAAATAGATTCATCATTTCCTGAGGCCATTCGATTGCCCTCGATGCGAATCTCATTACCCGGTAATTGGGGCGTTCACCGTCTGATGCGCACTCTTCACGAGGCTCGCGCGCTGGACGGGCATGACGGCATCCTGTGCGTATCCTTGCCTTGAATAGCGACATGGGTGCTCTTGGTTTCGGATATATACTTCCATGTGCTGAGCAGTACTGAGGCTATGAATCTCTCTCGGCGACCATGACCGACAACAACACGCGGTCTGAGCCAACACCGTTCCCCCATTCCTTCACTTTGACGTTGCCCACTGCGTTCTAGATTTTGCACACGCACGGAAGCTTCATCGGACTGGTCGCCGGATCATTTGGGCGTTCTGTGGCGGTCTCTTCAGATCTATAGCGTGCAAGTATACGCCGGCATCAATCCCGCTCGGCCTTTTGAGCACCCAAGAACCTGCAAGAATCCCGCCTGCGTCATGCGCGATGCATCACAAGGCGTTCTGCGCCCGTTCCCCTTCTTGTTCTTCTCGTTCTTCCCCGTTCTTTGCCTTGGCCGGTCGCACGTCAGGCGGGCAGGAAGGCCCGACGACCGCGCATGAGCGAGCGGCGAGGCTCCATCGGCATGACGGGGTTTCCCTTGTGGTCAACGCGGAGCCAGGCGTCCGCCATGAGAACGTCCTGGGACATCGGGGGGACATGTGTGGCATTACTTACCTCTTGGGATTGGGGAGATGGATCGCCAGAGGGTCGGCGCTGGGTGCCGTATATATAAAGACGGCGATGTAGGAGCAATGGCTACAGCAGAGGACTACCGCACGTTGCTTCTCTACTTGCCTAACGACCCAAGACTCCTTGCAATTCATCATGTTCCCCAGCATTGCGTTGACCCTCGCCGCCCTCGCAGGTCTCGCTGCGTCCACGTACGTCCCTTCCTCGCTGCGCGTCCGAGAGCAGACATGTTCACCAGGCTCCTCCGCCCAGGACGATCACCGTCGTCAACCACTGCAGTTCCGCGGTCGACCCAGGCTTCTTCCCCGCGGCGAACAACGGCGCGCTCGGCGGCTTTGCGCTGGCGGCGGGCGCGTCGCAGGCCGTGACGCTCCCGTCCGGCTACAGCGGGCGCGCGTGGGGCCGCACCGGGTGCGACGACGCTGGTGTGTGCACCACCGGGAGCTGCTCGGGCGGCGTGAACTGCACCGCGCCTGCCGCCGCAGGGCCCACGCTTGCGCAGTTTACGATCAACGGGTGAGCTTCGTCGTCGCGTACTCCGAGCGAGGACGCTGAAAGATGTGGGGCGGGGGCGGGGCAGGTTCTCGAACCTGGACTTCTTCAATCCGGGCGTTGCGGACGGGTTCAACATCCCGGTGACGATCACTCCCGGCGCTGGCTGTACGTGACGGATATGTCCGTCCTCCGAGTACACGCGGTATTGACATCGGGATGCTTGTGCAGGCTCGACTGCTGCTGTGACGTGCTCGAACGCCGCTGGAGCTGGTAGGCATTTCTTCTTGCCGCCTAAATCTATTGCCGGTAACCGATCTGACTGTCCCGCTCGTAGGTAACGGCTGCGGTGCGACTTCTACCTGCCCGACCGGTACCGCCTACACCCTCTCCTTCTGCTGAGAGTTCTTTCCCCATCAAAAACTCGGACTTACATATGGACTCTACGGACACATGTACTAGCGCACTGTAATGGCTCTTGTAAACATTCGTCGTAGCAATATGAACAAAACGCTGCCTTGCAGACGAAATGCCGCTATATGCCGTGGCAAGCAACTCCATCGCCGAAACGATGTCCGGTCTTCCGCCACAACCACCACCACCACCGTCAGAACCGTCGCAGACCGCCCTCACCACCCCGGCAACCGATGCCCTCCTCGAGCCGCTGAACGACCTCCAATCCCTTGCGCACACCCTATTCGCCTCGCTCTCCCCCGCGCACACCAAGCCCCCGCCCGCGCCGCCGCTCACAGCCTTCCTCGATGCGGACGCGCGGCTCGCGGACGCCGTCGCGCTAGCGCGCGTGCACCAGGCCCGCCAGCGCCGGATCGAAGCGCTCAAGGCCGACATCGGGAGGCTCGACGCGCGCTGGCGCGATATCTGCGCCGAGCTGGAACGCGGGCGGAGGGAACTCGAGGCGGCGATCGAGGAGGGCGAGGTGCGCGTCCGCGCCATGCAGAAGGCGAAGGACGGTACGTCTTGTGCCCTTTTGCCCCCCCCCCCCCCCCCCCCCCCC